AGCACAGAAGTTTCTATTTTCTTTCCAGAATGAGCTTAGGCGTCCAGCCCTAAAAGCCCCTTGAAACGGCACAGAGTACGAAGTACGACGGACGACGTTGCATTCGCCAGCTTATGACAGATGCACAACTGCCATCTTGAGCTTCTATTCTCAGCTCAAGATGAGAATTAGCTGTTTCCTGTTTATTAACCCTATACTTGAGAACAGCACCATTACGCAGCCTATGTCTATGGTCTTTGCGCAATGGATTTGGCGGAAGGCTCAACTAAGATTAACCTTCTAATTCTTGCTAAGAATCCAATGCGCTCATTTACCAGGGGCGTCTCTATAGGATTGTTCAAGACATGTTTAAAACCCTTATTACAACGTTAGCCAAGGAACAGTTAACCAACTTCATAATATACCGCCAAGCAATTACGGGTCAGCGCAGGAAGCTGGGGATAAGACGGGTAAATGATCGTTCTAACCACGGACCATGGAAAGGAATGGCGATAGAATGTCTCCGTGCCCGTGGGCAGCAATGCACAGGCAGCAGGGAACCTAAAAACACACATCGCCGGCTCCCAGTCCGAAGCATCTAAGATCCAAGGAGTGGATAACCGAATCCGCCTCGCGAGATTCGAAAACGATCTAAACATCTGACAGGGACGGCTAGTTATCGAACGCCTCTAGTGTAAGCTGTGCCGGCTTTTAATTGCTGTCAGCAAGGTTCCCGGGCCAATTAAAGACTTTCCCGTCAACCCCGGTCCTTAGTTACCCTGTTGATCTTACACGAAATGCCGTTATGTCAGGGGCTTTTTAGCCAGTTTGTCATCCCATTCTCACTAGCCATAGCCCTGGTAATAGTTGGAAGCCTGGAAGCCAGTGAAGTCTCGACATCACAACCGGACTGCCATATTACAAGCTGACTAAGGCCTTCCTAGATACCAAGCGCTGCAATCCCGATGCGGTGGGCATTTCGTTACACTGCTTGCAGCCGTGGGTTGTAGTAGATGCAAACGAAAATACCCAACACGCAGATCATCGTCGCACTGGAAAGTTATCTGCATGCCAGCCAAGCACCCTCGATCTGCCTTATTAATGCAAGGAACACGCCGACGTCATGCGTGCAAGTCACAGACAGTCTCGACGACCAAGAGTTTAATTACACTACTATAGACTGCGCAAGCCTAATAATCTAATACCTACCGTGGTAGTTTCGAAAAGCTCAAATCAAGTAGATCGAGGCCAATAATTGACACTACGTATGTATGTCAGTGGTTAGCTTTGATTTCCGCGTCTCAGCTGGGTACAACCAACATCACGAGAGCGTACCCCGGATTGTTGCATCGATTCGAGAATAGGTGCCTTTGCTAACATCTACTCTCTAATAATATAACTCACCGGTTCGCAGTTTGCTCAATCGTTTCAGCTGTACCCCCGTCAGTGTAGCCTATGATCGCAAATGACCAGGGCCTGACCGCATTTGGCCCTCGCATCGGTTGCCTTCCTGCACGAAGTCAAAGTCGCGTAACATTGAGTGTGCAGCAGCGTTGCCTTTGCAACATATCGTTTTCTTTGTCCCTATTAGGAATTCATGAGCTTATGTCAGCATATTAGCTGTACTAGCCCCTGTCCTTACCCATCTCCCAGCAGCACTGCGCGTTTCATGTTTCAATTGGCGGCTCAATTGACAACTACATGTGACATACACAAATTATATCCAGAGCAAATTTGGCTTTCGAACCATATTCATTATTTCAAAACAAGGCTTGGAGTATGCGGCGTACAGTTTCCAAAAGGTTTGCTACTTATTCCTAGGTACTAATAGCAGGATAATACCTTGGTTACATACATAGGTAAGCATGTATCCTCCATTTCATCGATACCTGGGTAACTAGTACTTACCTACTACATACATACATAGGCAATGCCGGTCTCATGGTACAACTATATCGTTCTTGGCATGCTTGCATCTATCGCATTTCGTATAGTAGCGAGAAAGCGAGAATCATGTCAAACCTGTTGTGATTACTCACTTTTTATCATGATTATCTTGCGTCTTTTTGGAAGTTTTAATCCAACGACCCGCCCTCCTCGAGGACGGACTCGGGCTCGGTCCCGACCAATTTGCGAGATCGCACATCCTATCCATGGAAGCCGGAGAGCCGCTGAGGATTACCAGCGTCGTATGCTTATCGATCCTTCCGTTATTTTCGTCGGGACGCCTTAACGCACACATTTCCCAAGCCCTAAGGGACGGTCCCGCAAGTAGGGCTAGTCTAGGTACCTCGCTTTTTCGAGTCGCTTTGTCTCATCCACAAGGAGTTCCATTTCCCCGAATCCCTACTATCATTTTACTCATTCTAAGTGTAAGGCTTAGGTTAAAGGGCCCTTTGCCTTAGCCGATCGAACTCTAATTCGGAAACAAATCGTGACATAGCTTGTCACAGCCTGGTAGTATTGGCTGCCGGATGTCTCCGTGCATGACACGAACGGAAGGATCATTTGAACCAACTACCAGCATAATCTGGTGTATAGATCCATCGGGATTATTGTTGAACTGGGTTCAAACGAAGATTCAAATGCTATCAGGCATACAGGCTCCAGACTCATGATGCTCCTGTGACCACCTTGGAATAATAGTCTACTCGAGTCGATCTAGTCCATATTCCCCAGATGAGGTTGAGGGGGCAGGTTTGACGCTGTCCGCTACTTTATTTGTTCGAAGATGCCTACTCGGGTGGCACTTACATATGACCTTTACATTGTGAACTTGTCTTACCTACCTGTTTAGCAGGGTTGCGAAACGGTATGTCCCGTCCATATTGTTAAACTAGTAGCCTATGTTTTACGAAAGTGATCGCCCTGATTCAAAGGTTATCAATGCAAATACCAATTATATGCTACCCTCTTCACTTATTCTAGAAAACTAACAGAATACTGCCCTGAAACTCACTCAGGAAGAGACAGATTCGAGTAACAGACTAGATCGGCAACATCGGGTCTGTCTCCGAAGGAAGTGTCCTACTTTGCCCTTCAAATGTCAAATGCTGACTGGAGGAAATTGGAAATGATGAGAAATGATGAGCTGATCGGGTTCGTAAGCTTGGGGTTCTGCTGTGTAACGGGACACATATGGGAGTAGGTAGATGTTAGGCCAGAAAATATTTGTGTCGGGCACTTATGGCAACGAGAGCCTCATACAAGTCAGTGTCATGTCATCAGTGATCATCATGTTGGGAATACCTTACGAAAACATCACAGAACCACTCGAGGCTGCCTTGCATCGGGGTAATACTCGGTACTTTGGCTTTTATTATGGCTAGGTAAAATTAACAATAAGAGGAATGTATTATAATTTACTGCTCCAAATAAGCAAGAATCATATCATTCGAAAATAACTCTTCAGGGTTACCTCCAATTAACATATGTTACTTATTTCTATTTGAACCATACTGAATTAAAGAAAAGAAAAGAAATAATCCTGAACGAATTACTCAAGGATCGTTAAAGCAGATAGAAACGATAGGTAGGTACCTAGGTAGGTACGTAAGACTTATATCTATATATAATTAATCGACCCTTCATATGTAGGTGTCTATAATTGGACCTTAAGGTAAGTAGGTAGGTACTCATCTATGGAGGGTTGGAGCGGCATGTCAGGCTTAGATCATGAGACGAGTAAAAAAAACAAGTTTACTCTTATAATAGGATAGAAAACTAGGGCTGTACCGATAAGGAACTCACCGGTCCAAGAAGACGTTAATGTTGCTTTCCAGATCCGGACTTGATCTTAAGTATGTTACATCTATGTCAACTTCGAAGCTCAATGAAGGCACACCACGAGTTGAGTAAAGGAGTTGATAGCAACGCCACGGCATACTTCATTAGCAGTAACTCGAAGTACAGCGATGCTGCTCTGCCGTAGAACTTCAGGTTTCATTTTTCCTTTTCATTTTGTAATGGCTATTTTAATCTTGCTTACTTATTTGCCTCGGGTGACTTGGGAATAGGGGCAGGTTAGGTAATCACTTCTGGTAAGCAATGACTCAGCATCATGAGGCTAGCCTTTATCATTACAGAGATAGCTTTTTGAATGTATTCCAGTTACCACGATTAAATATAAAGTCGATAGAATTATTCTAATAAGAAATCTTGCATTAGTACCTACAAATGATGCGCCACCTAAACTGATAGACATCTTCATATCGCATTATGAACACTAACGTAAGGTCTGTTCCATGTGGTTTCATGTTTTATACCGGCTATTACTCATAGTCTTCTATAGAAACAAATCAAAAGCTTTGACTTGCTACTGTGACATTGAATTACAGAGAGTCAAACCATCCATCCGTTACACTTCATTATCCATACTGACAAACACTAAGAGCACGGGCACCTTTGGTCGGTCTTTACCCACCACATGCCGCACATTCCGAACCGCACTAAGATCTGAGATTTCCATCCAACGTAGTTCGCATCTTGAACACCATGTGGGAATTCAGATTTTACAAGCAAATTTTCTTGGCTCCTATTATCTACTTACTATACTGTATTCGGCTTGCTGCTTCTACCTATTATAGTTAGCCGTCATCTTGAGTATAATACCTCCCTTCGATCTGGAGTTTTCATCCCACATCCGTCTGCTAGTTGCATAGGCAGTTACATACAATAAGCTCTCTACCTCAGATTATCCAAACAGGAAGGCTCTTCTATAATCTCATATGACTTAATTATATCAAGTCATCAGAGTCGGCTAGGGATTTAACAATAATCCGGTTGCCCTGAACTATTATGAGTACATAAGTCAGTTCATATTTCGAACTTTACCCATATAAAAAACATCGTATCTTCCAACCAGCTGAATCTGAATGACTTCTCTCAAACAAACCTGTCATTTCCTTAACTTTACTTTCACATTTCCTCGGCCACACAGTTTCTAACACTCCTAACTTACCTTCCCATTCATAACTCCCACTGTGTCCTTGCCCAAGCAGGTACTCTTTCCCTTGCTAGGTATTACCTAACCCATCACGCTCGCCTGTTCATATTTATACCTAAGGTTCCATCTCATCTATTTTTAAACTTTTATGTGAGTAATTAAACTGTATCACATTTCCATACGAGCAACTCTAACTTCAACTTAGAAGAGGAGAGTCTATTTATTGAGGAGCAGGTAGGTGCATGTAACAGTCCTCCTGACCTGATCCATTCCATACTACTCCCCCTATCACTACTACACATCCAACCCCATCTCATCCTTCACCACATCAACTAGATCTTTCACCTAGTGCCTCTTTCGCGCCTCGGTATTGATTTTCCTTCCGATTAATAACTTCTAGTTAGCATATTTTTATCAGTATGTCTTTAGTATCACCTATCGAAGCCATTAGCCAAGATACTATCGAATACATTGTCCAAGATGTCTTAGATGAGATCTTGGATGATATCGATGAGGCCAACGAAGTCGAGGCCTCGGAAGATGGTGGTTGCGTGCCTTCCATCTATGATAACGATGCGGCACTAAAGGAGGAAGTCGCACCTTACGATGAAGCTAACCTTAGACAACGAATAGCTGCGGCGATTACCCTGCTTAATGAATTCTGCACCTCTCAGTCCAAGACAGGGGCAAGGGCATTAGAGGACGACGACGCCAAGTCTGAGCTAGATATGACTAATTCGGAGGAGTCTATCACGCCAGCAAGTACCGGCTCGCATTCTCCACTTATCTTCAATGCCCACGAGAGCGACACAAGCTACAGTGATGAGTCAAGCTTGGAAATTGAAGAGCTCAAGATTGAGGAGCTGGCACTCGATGGGCCAACCGCTGCACCACAGCATTTCCTTGGGACCGACAATGCGACAACATATGGAGATATCCCTCTCGAACACCTTGCCCACCCCGAGAAGTATCATAACCAGTTTATCGAGGTGAAGAAGTCGATGCTTGGTGGAAACGGTGTCTTCTCGAAAGTTGATCTCAAGAGGGGTCAGCTAATCCTGGTGGAACGCCCTCAAATCGTCACTTGTCCGGAATCCCTCTACAATGCACTCGATGAACTGACACCCGAAGTCCGAAGTGCATTCCTGCGCATGCATGCCCACAAGCGACACCCTGACCAGGACGACCGACAGGCAATATTTCTGACGAACGCGTAAGTCCATGGATGCCTAATACATGTTCTATATGCTAACTAGGGCGAATTAGTTTTGCAATTCAAGAGTACTCCTGCATCTACCTGATCGCGGCGCGATTCAATCACACTTGCCAAGACGTCCGGTCGGTCGAATACCGCGTTGCGCCGGGTCGCGTGATGGAGTTCCGAATGATGAAGGACGTGCCGGCCGGGACCGAACTCACCATTTCTTACGGCCCGCTATCTCCACGACAACTCTATTCCATGTGGGGTTTCCGTTGTGCTTGCGGCGGTTGCACACCCATCTCGGATGAAGAAGTCGCAAGGATAGACGGTGCGGTGAACGCGAAAGGTATCTGGTAGACATGATTAAGGGAATGAGCAAAGAAAGCGGAAGGCGGACTAAGATGGTGGTTTCCTGAAGCAGTCCATACCAAGCAGATTTTAGCAGATTGAATTTGAGCGTTTTTAACTCAAAATCACATAGAGTTTGAGACTGATTACTTACATGTAGATCTTAGATCTTTATCAGGGGTAGAGCTTCAACAAAGTGGTACCTGTTTAGGTACGTCTCAGCCCTAGAAATGGATTCTTAGCTGCTAAAAACAAGACATAGAGATGATTGCATAGCATGGTGTGATCTTATGTTAGAACATTGAGAATTAAAAATCTCGTTACTTGAACTAAGGGATTTGTTATTCGGCTTCTATTAGCACCTACTAGGTACCTACAACGGGGCTTTCTTTGATTACATAAGTTTCCGGGTACCTACAGATTAGATCTCTGCCAGCGGGAGTCCGGGTTCAGTCACGTGCCACCGCGTAGAATTTAATTGGCTCCACCGTGACGGCAAACGCGCCGTTCCTCTGCCGTCTATCACCAGCGTCATGCCAGGTGCATATACACCATTACTTTAGGCAAGAACCCGACATGTCATTGCCCTATGGAATAAGGTTAAGTCATAAATAAAGGCCTCAAACAGCTAACGTGCTATTCCTAGCGCACGGTTCAGCTTCCGGTGAATATTTCAGACCCACATACCGGCTACAGCTGGCACGGCTCGTACAGGTGAGGGTAGATAAGTATATGTAGGTAGGTATCTTGCACTTTGCTTTCGATTCAAATCCCCGCCATATATCTCTAGGTGCACCGTGACCATCTTCTTCTTTCATCTTTTTTTTTATTCACCACGACTTTCATCTAACCAACTCATACCACACACTTGGTAAATAAAAACTTCGGTCGGTTGACTGTATCTATCTTCTCTATACCATTTTCGTTTATCACTCTAGACCATTCATCCAGTCTCGTCTGGCACGTTTCCGTTTGTTTTTTCGGCGATCTCACCCGTCATTAATTATTTCATCTTCTACGCTCTCGTTTGGTCCTAGGCGTTTGAGATACGAACGATTTGTATTCAAGTGTCATACACTGCCTAGTCGCAAGGCACCTTCGACGGTTCTTCACGGCACTATCACCATACCGGAACTGCTATTAGACCTTCTTCTCAACCATTTACACGATGCCTTCGCAACCTCAAGGTAATCTCTACTCCGCTCTTGAGCTGGAGCGCACTGCCACAACGGAACAGATAACGGCATCCTACCGTCGGCTGGCTAGGATCCACCATCCGGACAAAAATCCTGGCAATGAAGAAGCTGCAACCAAAGCTTTCCAGAGGGTATGTTTTCCATCTCGTTCCATAATCCACTAGTATATTCGTATACCGTTATGGACCAATTAAGTTAACCTTCGCAGATTCAACTTGCCTACTCAGTCCTCTCCAACTCTGAGAGTCGTTCAGACTACGACAATCGCTATCCGTCGATTTGGCCCAGCACTTCCGAGGACAATGGCCCTCATGACTTCTGCGATTTCTTAAATGAAATCTTCGGATTCACTAGAACCAATCGCCAGCCTGACTTCGACCAGTTGCAGCGTCAGTTCCGCGAAGAACAGGAGGAAATCTTGCGTGAGTGGCGCGATAGCCAGAAAGCAGCTTATGAACGAGATCTCGCGGAACGCCGTGAGCAACGCCGCCAACGAGCTGAGGCGGAAGAGGCATTGAAGAAGGCTCAGGAGGCCGCCAAACAAGCCAAGCTGGACAGCGAGCAGAAGGCTCGGGACGAGATGCGCGCCGCGGAGCAGTCGAAGCAAGAGGAGCGCTGGAAGAAGTTGGGTGCCACGACTAAAGACGAGCGAGTCCAGACTTGTGTCCACTCCGAACACTGCGCCAAGATTCCCCATCGCCAGAAATTTAAGTGTGATTCTTGCAAGGTGAAGAGAGGCATCACCGCTTTCGAGTGCCCCTATTGTGGCTTGCTCCTCTGCCAGCAGTGCGTGGTCACCTTTACCAAGCGACGTGCCATGCCCGAGCAGGCACTTCCGATCCGAACGTTCGATCCTCAGCCGGCAAAGGAGCCCGAGTTGCCAGACGCGAAGGTGGAGGAGGGCAATGGCCATGACAAGAAGCAGCATAACGCCAAGCAGCAAGGTGGCCGAGGTCACCCCCGCAATCCCAACGGACCGCCTCGATGCTACAAGTGTCACAAGTTGGGCCACTTGGCTAAGGTCTGTCGCAACCGCGCCGGAGGCCCGTCCGGTTACACCCTGGGAGACAAGAAGCATTGGAAGGGTAACCAAGGAAAGCCTCACGGAGGTGACAAAGGGAACGGTCAAGGAAAAGTCCAGTAAAGTGGCAGTTTACTTTGGGCCGGGCAAACGGCGTCTGGAGGTTAAGGGTATGAAGGCATAGGGGTTCGGGGTAGGAATATGGCGTTCGGCATCATGAGATTGACTTTTCTTCGGAATTTGGGACGGGGTTAATATACCCAACGAATGGCTAAGACACGGAAATGTTCTGTACTAGTCTGTTTGGGTTCTTGATGGTCGCATAGGGTTAAATCTGCTAGGCCTAACTGCTGGATAGCAGGGTCTTTCCTCAAGGTTTCCTAGCTAAGTGAATAATGAGGAAATTCACATGATGAAGTCCTAAGGAACTATCCATGAAGAAACGTAGTGCGTTGTAGTAATTATCTGTAAGGATATTGTTTGCCTCGTGCCATTGGATCATACCATGTGTCCCTCGAAGGCTCAATTCGCACCAACATCAGCCTTCCCCTCAGCCTTTGCCATAGCCTTAAGGAACCGTCTTCAGGTACTAGATACCATGCTTCCACACCTATGCCGCGTGGACCTTCGGATAACTTCGGGAGGAATACGGCGAGAAGGTCTCGGTAGCTAGCAGCTGGCGTTGATTCACAAGCGCCACAACTCACTTCGGGGCTTACCTGGGTACTTTCAGACAAGCCATCGCTATAAGATGGATATCCGTTGACAAAGCCAATGATTAATTAAAGATAGAAATCGTATTACCTAGTTTCCCATCTATGACATATGTACGCGGCGTCGAAACTAGACATCGCAACCTGGTTTAACGCTTCCAATTTTTTAAACCTCCTATATTCTGGGAGGCGTTTGGAAACACAACACGAGGTAAGCAGACATCATCAGTAGCACAGCAACCGAGGTGGCGGAACACTGCCTCCACCGTAAAAGGCACAAGCGAGCGCCATGGAACGCCCCGGATAGGATATGTCTCAGCTGGTACGGCGCCTCCATGGTTGGCAAGCCTTTCACGTGTAAGAATGGATTGGATCTTCGATGGGTGGCTAGCCGCTGTTCGGCTTCCTTACAAGTCAGTTAACGTGATACAGAGAGCCCTAGGAAGGTGAGGTTAGCTCGTAATTAGGGGATCATACCCAGCTTCTTTACTTCCCACACGTGACCAGCATTGATCTTACCTAAACATCCTCACTTTGCCATCAGTTCCCATCAAGCCACACGAAGTCATAGCAGTCTCAATTCCAATAATAAGAAAAACACGAGGAACAAAATCGATCCGGGTATACGCAAGTAGATAGTCGAGACTGGTCTTCTATTTCAAGGGCTTATATATCAATTTGGGAGTCTTGCCTCTACGGCTGGTTTTGTTCCTCCCTAGCTACATCGATAGATAGGGGGAATCCTATTCCCGCCGTCACCCTTTTTTTCGTATTCGCAATTCGCGGGCCCTGCCGAACCGGGCCCCGAGAGAGAGCATCCAAGGTAAATTCCTAGCGGAAGCCCCCCTTCCTCCCGCACCCCGGGATCGCGGTGCTTGAAAAATCTTTCAAGAAACAGCAAACAGCCCGGTCCGCAAATGCCGTTTTGCGCAATGCGACTGCCAAAGTAATCTAATCCGCTGTGCTTCTTCCCTCCATTATCACTTTCCTCCTTTTTTTTTTGTGCTTCGGATCCCGCTCTCCAGCTTCTCCCTATCCAGTCTGCTAGCAGACAATGTTGCAGCTCACTCAGCTCTTCGCTCTCTCCTCCTACTCACTTCCATGTGTGTAAGGCTCGAAAAAATGGGCGCCGCCGATAAAAAGGTAAAAAATAGGACAAATGAAAAAGATCAAGTTACTTTGTATCGCTTTAAGGAAAAAAACACGACGCCGCTTTAAAACTCTACTTCTTGAGGTGCAATACGTAGCGCTCGAGAAACCCTCCTAAGCGTATGAAGATTCAAATGGATACTCGTGTTGGTGTTTCAGAATCCCTCCAGGTCATTACTCGCATATATCGAATCGGCAAAAAAAGAGAACCTTGTAAAATGGATGGATGGAAGAATTTGTATTTATACGCCGACCGACTTGAGACGGTCCATCGAGGACAGGGAAATGAGGAAGGAGGACGAAGGGAGCTTTCACGCAACCCAACTCGGTATATAAGATTAAACAGTACATATACACCAAACTTCGAAGTTATTGTCACCAAACGCCCGCCGCTATGAGAACTACCTACACGTAGGTAGCGTTTCGGTTCGAGAGTCGTTCTCGTACAACTGAATATTAATTGAAATTTAAAGAGTGACATCGAGAACTAGGCTGACATCCTGGACGTTAGATCCAGCCAAGTCTTCGAGAACGGGTATCAAGTCTAATAGTTCGTTGTCGTGCGCGTCCGAAAACCAACTGCTAATAGGTACGGCGTGTTGAGGGTGGAAGATGTAGGAAGTAGGCGAGTTGTCGATGATGATAGTGTCCTTGAGATCTCGGCCGACTTGGGATAGATCCTTGACGTAGTTGCCTTGGTGGTTGTAACAACTCTCGCGGAATAATCGGTGGTGGACAACCTTGTGGATATCTAGTTGGTCTAATAACGGGTCACCGTACTACCGAGCTAGTTAGAAGATACCACGGAATTATTTGTGACGGAGCGTTGAACGTACCTTGGAGACGGAAGCCGTGAAGACTACAACTTCATAAAGCTCGCCCACCCGCTTCATGAACTGGTCAACACCGGGTCGCTTGATGACATACACGTTGTGAAAGTTGCCTTCGATTTCGACCGGTATAGTGAAATCAGCTTGATGTAATATCTGCGACGATTAGCTTACCATCCAATCTGCCTCGAACACTTCATGATTTACCTTGAAAGAGCTGTGTACTAATGTCTCATCCAGATCCAATACTAGGCACTTCCTGCCCTTAAGGTGAGGTTCGACGGGTGGCAGGAGGTACCTGGGCTGGCCTTGCTCCACATCCACCGATGTGTCCTCTGGTGCAATGGGAGCAGAGTTGGTAATGGGTATCGGGCCAGGAGGAGGCGGGGGGACGGGCTTCGCAAATTGTTCGTCGGTTCCCGCACCGGGTTGCTTGGCAAGTTCGGTCTTGGCTGGCTCCCCATCTGCCATCTCGACATCACCGTCGACGTCCCTGCTGGAAGACCCTTCGACGGCAACCGCCTCCGCTTCATGATCCTCTGCAACCGGAGGGTTCACCGTGATGCTAGGGCCCGGCACGCCGACCAGGGTAGTCTGTTTCGATTCACTATCTCGCTCACCGACAGTTGATTGATCCTGGGTGGTAGATGCCGAAGCCCTCTTCGCGGCTTTGGACGCGTCCTGAGAACCAGCGCCCGCTTGAGGTTGCACCTCCTTCTCCTTCTCGTAAATTTGAGTCTTGCTACCGGCGGTCTGTTCGGAAGGCGTTGTGGTTCGCCGACTAGATGTTAATGGCCTCTGGGGGATCTTGTCGAGCTTGTGGGAAGGGAGTGGATCTTCGCCACCTTCCAGAGCGTTGGCGTTATTTGGGACAACGCAGCAGCCAAGAAGAGCCAGTAATCCGCCTTTTTTCCGCCGCTGAGGAGCCCCAGCCGGAGAATTTGGCTGAGATGTACTAGGTGTAGTTGTGGGATTCGTGGCAGCCCCAGAATGATTACTGGATACACTACCGTTCCGACGCCGGCCCAGCATACTGTGTTTTGATTCCTTGGATTGACCACCAATGCTATCCCTCGGATCGTCAGCGGTTGTCCCGCTTAGCCCCGTTGTCGCCGGTGACGACTGTATCTTTTGCGACGATGATCTAGACGGTACGTTCAAAAGACTGCGGCCTTTTCTTGCGACGGGACCATCCTCTGGCGAAATTGTCTCTTTTTCCCTTGAGCCTTCGTGCTCCACCTGTTTTTTCTCATCAGCGCCCTTGGACATTTTTCTCAATTAGGCTTCGATGCTTGCTGGTGGTTGGGGACGGTACACTATCACGCTATAAAATAATATTAGCAATAGGAAGACAGAAATGCGACATGTGACCCGGTCGCATAGGGTGAAAAGGTGAAAAGACGATGCTAGAGATCAAGTACTAATGAACGGGCTGGGATAAATGAGTTGAAGAAAGACTCGACAGGATGGTTCGAGCGGCGCAAGGAACCAAAGGAACCAAAGGAACCACGTTGGCCAATTGGAAGTAACAACATTCACTACGAACATCAAGTAGGAGAAAGGAAGCATCGATAATAGAAAAAGCTCGTCGGTTATCGCTCACCTCGGTGTTTAACGACGGTTCACCTTGGATAGCTACCCAAACCCCTGACGCAGCAATTGGTGGCCTTGGGTGGCCAAGTCGGTTTTGCGTCCGCGCGACTGCGACCCAAAAAAAGAAAGTTGGCTGGATGCGGCTGAATCGGAGCGCAGAAAGAAAATCCGAATATTGGATGGCCGCAAGACAGGCGGAGGGGAGGAGGGCGGGAGGCGATGCGATAGAAGGATGATCGAGGATATCGAGAGAGAAGACTACCTAGGTAGAGAGAGCGCGTCGTAGGAGGAAGCGTGGAAAGCGTAGAAGCTTATTGTGATAATTCGGGGGGGATGAGAAGTGGGTCAGCTACCACTTGGGACTTGCGAACTTGCGAAGAACGAAATGAGTGAGCCTGGGTTGTGGATGAGCCTCGGGGTACCTTCGGGCGGGTTTATGGGTATCAGAACAAAATAAACTCCAAATCCTGATGGGTAAAAAGAAGAATAAAAGAAATATGGCATAAATGCCCAAAAATGCCTGTTGAGAACCTAAGAGGGAAAAAACAGGGGGGGGAATAAAAGAGAAGATGGATTGTAGAAGTTTACAGCAGTGCTGGCGACAGAGACGAGATGGATAGTGGTAGGTATTAAGCTACCGTAGTAGTAGGTACAGAATGATGGGTTAATGCAGCCCTGGTAATAGGTACCTACTGCGTATGTAAGGCAGCCCGTTAAGGGTACAAGTACAAACAAGAGCTGGCCGTACAGAATAGAAAGAAGAAAAAAAGAAGGCCAGGAACTGACAGAACTGACAAGCACTCTCTCGCTCACTCACTCTTCCCTCTATTCTGCTGTGTCTTGTTTCGTGGAGGCTGAAGAAAGTCTGGTCCTGTCTGGAATCGCAAGCGAAATGATTTCCTGAGAAGAAACTGGACCACTTTGGAGGGAGGGCACGGAGCATTTTGACCAGGGGGGGAAAGCCGCTAGCGCGCCTGCTTAAATCACTGCGAAGGATCCCATGGATGCGACAGGGAGTACCTGCCCCAGTTGAATTGTTAGCCCGCTAGGGACAGAAGCTGGGCGCTTTGAGAGTGGGCCAGTACGTAGTTATAATCCAATCAGATCATTCAAATTCTACAGTGTACTTTTATACCAGGTAGGACCGAAATAACCCATGGCAAAACATATGTACAATAGAGTCTGTTAGCACAAGTATGCACTCTTTCTCCTATCAGCTTACATTATCCATCCCGCTTTGGTACTTGTCGTCCATGCCCCGTCCACTATCATTAGCTTGGAGAAACATTCAATATTGCAATTTCGCAAACTTCCTAGGGTAATCACTTGCAATTAGTGTGATCCTCTCAGAGATCTACCCGATTTCTCAACAGTAACACATGGCATTTAGTACACCCACTTCCATGTTCCTGACGACGTGCTGTCATATTTTTGCTTTTCGAGGACGACGAAAGAATGAATCCCAAGGTACCTATGAGGCTTGACTGCTAACGAGCTTGCATAGATAGATGTATTTATTTGTCATACGGTTGTATATAATTAATGTACCTAGCATCTAATATGCAGGTTTGGTGTTACTTCGACACTCGACCTACTGAGTTCGGTACCTTGCGGCCGCAAACCTCCATCAGACCCAGTACTACTTCTCGAGGTTTGCGGGAGAATTACACTAATTAGACAAGAAACCGCATTGTCATTGCCCTATGGAAGTACCTATTCCTATATAGGTATCTATCTATAGTCAAGCATGCTGTGGATACCCAGATATAGGTATCGAAAAATGCACGCAGTTTCAACCCATCACCGAGACGAATAGACAATGGAAGAATCTGGCGCATTAGCTTTTAATCGCCCATCTCATCTAGGTACATACGTCCATGGATGTCAGTAGTGTATAGCGGGGGAGCTTTCCGCTGCCGCTATAGCAGTGCCTTACTATGCATAAGCGGCAAAGAAGTTCGCTGGAGCTGCTGGAGGTCGCATGGAATCCATACATACCCAGATAGTGGTAGCCTCTAGCATCTGGGAAGCCCGGGTGACTGACTGAGTCTTTCCATCAAGAACAAGATGGTTGAGGAGCATAAGGTACCTAGCTATGCAACTACTCAGTGCCGATTTCTAATTGGCTGTGTTGCCGCCCGTTGGAGTGATGGCCGAGAAGTGGAACTACGGTACACCATTGGTCCGTTTTTAAGACATAGGGCACGGTTTGGTTCGCTCTAAGGGAACCAACTGAATTGATTTCTCATGATGTGTAACAACGATGAGCACGAGTGTGTATCGGTAGTACACATGCCAATAGTATAACGTGAGGGGGATGTACGCCACTATCAACATGCGATTCAGAGTCATCCATCTATGCAGGCGAATAGACGGTCAGGTCTCCGGTTATTATTATGTCGTCAGATCCGCCCAGTCGGGTCTTCTACTCGCCTAATATATCTCTATATACCAGTCTTCTAATGCATTCAATCATGCTAAATCTCTTCTAAAACTTAGAACAATCATAGCATCTTTGATAAGCTCCTCACAACCAAGCTTGATCTAGACAAAAGCAAGAATAAAAAGGGGGTATTGAATGACACTAAAATTCACTTCCCCAGACTTCCAAGATTAATACTAAGCCCATACTATTCAAGCCTCATTGTTAAGCCACAGACACGTGAAATATAGATGATCGTGGGGAAATGGTGGCTGATACCTGGGGCTTAGGAAGTGTAATAATTTTGGCCAATGACAATTGAGGTTTAACAGCTGCTTACTTCATTCATCCTTAGAGCCTTGGGATTATTGGAGGATCCAACCTCGGACCATCACATGCCTCTGTCTCAGCTCCGATCGCTTTCAATCGTCACCAATGACGGAGTTTCGAGCTATCCCAGCTGTTCCGTCTCTTCTCCTCCGCCTCAATTGCCCTTCAAAGACATGCCGGTAACATCTAACTTCACACTAGATATCCGAACAACTTTATCATTTCTTTCTTCGTCCCGCTTGTTCTAAAATAGGTCTAACAAGTCCTTAACAAGTTATTCGCTGTCAATGGCATTCGCGGTAAATTGTTATTTACAGGCGAGTCCTATTTGATGTCATGCCGCCATGGCGGTCCAATCCACCCTTCGTCATTCGGCATCCGAAGACATCCTCGTCGCTTTTCTCGACAAATATACAGCCCTAATTCGAGATCGATTACGAAAGACATCGAAACGTACCAAACTCCTCGCAACCCTCGCTCTCGCCGCATCCATAATACTCGGCGCAGAAGGCGGCCGGAGATGGTGGAAGCGGAGGATGCAAGAAAAAGAACAAGGTCGGAAGCTTGTGCGCACGAATTCTTGGCTATTCAACAAAGATGGATCGCGAACCGTCTACGTCCCATACAAAGATGGGACATCCAAGGTGGTTATTCACAGGACGAAACCTTTAACCTTCGAAGCGCATCGTCGACTCTTCCTTAACCCACCTAAAGTCTCGGGGCTTGGCGACGGCACTGTGCCCTCGGCGCAAACTAAACCAGGCCTGAATCTTGCCTTCTTACATCAGTTCCTAAGCTTGATGAGCATCATGATACCCAGATGGACCAGTAAAGAAGCGGGATTGTTAGTCAGCCACAGCGCGTTTTTGATGCTTCGCACCTATCTTTCGCTAGTAGTTGCGCGTCTAGACGGCGAGATTGTTCGAGATTTAGTCGCAGGTAATGGAAGGTTATTTCTCTGGGGTATAGTTAAGGTATGACTCGAATCTTTGTCATCCGACCAGATGTGAACTCGTTGCTAACAACCAACCTAAAGTGGTGCGGACTTGGTGGTTTCGCCTCTTATACGAACTCGATGATTAAATTTCTAGAGTCCAAGGTGTCGATTGCCTTCAGGACTCGGTTGACGAGATATATCCATGATTTGTACCTCAACGACAACCTCAACTACTATAAACTGTCGAACTTAGATGGTGGGGTTGGACAAGGAGCAGACCAATTCATCACTCAGGATCTGACTCTCTTCTGCGCCTCTGCCGCCAATCTATATTCCTCTCTAGGAAAGCCGTTTGTCGATCTTTGCGTGTTCAATTACCAATTGTATCGCTCTTTAGGTCCCCTCGCATTAACTGGGCTGATGAGCAACTACTTCCTCACGGCGAGTATTTTGCGAAGGATGTCTCCACCTTTCGGCAAATTGAAGGCAGTCGAGGGGCGCAAAGAGGGGGATTTCAGAAGTCTTCATGCCCGCTTAATCGCAAACGCTGAGGAGGTTGCTTTCTACGGCGGTGCTGAAATGGAAAAGACATTTTTGAACAAGGAATTCAAATCCCTGAAGAGCTGGATGGAAGGAATCTACTTGCTCAAAATTCGGTACAATATCCTTGAAGATTTCATCTTGAAGTATAGTTGGAGTGCTTATGGTTACCTCTTGTCATCTTTACCGGTCTTCCTCCCAGCGTGGGGTGGTCTCGGTGGTGCAATGGAGATGGTTGAGAGCGCCGAGAGAGGTGGCCGGGAACGCAACCGTATGAAGGACTTCATCACCAATAAACGACTCATGCTTTCTCTGGCAGATGCTGGTGGACGCATGATGTATTCGATCAAGGATCTGTCCGAACTGGCGGGATACACTAGTCGTGTTTACACACTTATCTCGACGCTGCATCGCGTTCACGCCAACTCCTATTTCCCGCGACCCAGCGGCAATGAACTCTACTCGCTCTCCGACGTTCAGGGAACTATCCAGAAAGGGTTTGATGGTGTGCGCTTCGAGCACGTGCCTATCGTTGCGCCCGGACTATGGCCTCAGGGCGGCGAGGAGTTATTAGATTCGTTGTCTATGATCGTCCGCCGAGGGGAGCATTTGTTAATTTCCGGACCTAACGGTGTTGGAAAGAGCGCGATCGCAAGAGTGCTTGCTGGTCTTTGGCCAGTCTACCGTGGCTTAGTGAGTCGACCCAAGTCTATCGGCCAGGATGGGATCATGTTCTTGCCTCAAAGGCCATACCTAAGCGTCGGCACGCTGCGTGACCAAGTTATCTACCCAGATGGCGAGGTGGACATGCGTCTCAAGCGCAAGAACGAGGATGAGCTGAAGCGAGTGCTTGACGCAGCCAAACTCGGTTACCTACCTGACCGGGAAGGCGGATGGGATACTCGAAAGGAGTGGAAAGATGTGTTGAGCGGCGGTGAAAAGCAGAGGGTTGGTATCGCACGCTTGTTATACCACGAACCCCAATATGCCGTCATCGACGAGGGCACAAGCGCCGTCTCAAGTGATGTTGAGGGCCTCTTGTACGAGACGTGCAAAGAGAGGGGCATCAGTAAGTTACACAATACGTGAATTTTCCGCTATTAGCTAACAAACGGTAGCCTTAATCACCATATCGACGCGCGCTTCCCTAAAGAAATACCATACCTTCAATCTCAGCCTCGGAGGAGGCGACAATGGAGACGAATGGGCGTTCGATCGCATAGGGACCGAAAGGGAGAAGATGCAAGTAGAGAAGGAGCTGCAGGAACTCCACGAACGCCTGGCCCAGGTCGAGCAGTGGAAACAGCGCCGCGAAGAGATCGAAAAGGAGTTAGCTCAAGTTTGGGTTGAAGGTGACGCTACCTTAGACCCGCCTGCTTATGTGGACGCTGTTGAAACTCAGGGGTGAAAGTCAACAGTGGTCTGTTAGGGGTGTGGTTTGAGTGTACGATTGCTTGCCGTGTACGAGTATTATGTAGACAAGGCAATCCTAGGATATTGAATGGTATCATAATTATGATCAGTGGTATTAGGCAGTCCGGATCATGTAAATGGGTAGTCCATCTAAGTCAAGCACCAAGAGCAAGATTTTTCTTATGGACACCTCTCGGTTTCATACAGATGAGAGTTTCTCAGACATTTGACTAATAAAGAAGCCAACGCATGATAACTCAGGGATGGATTTGTCCAGGAATGAAACACTAGCAGGTCATATCTATCTTCATTGAATCAAGTAGCAACTGGACCTCATCTCAAGTTGAACTTGGTCTTACCTAGCCACGTCATACCTACTTACTAATCATTATTAACAATTTCATAACACGACCTTTTCCTATAAATACATACCTATTATAAGCATTTCACCTTCGGTTTAGGTTAATTCAACTGACACGTATGAACTAAGAATAACCCTCGTAAAATGTGTTTATTGCTTCCGGTTGCTATTGCCTTGCTACTCTTTGTTAATAATGTTGGTAACACTTCAGTTCATGTCGACAATACTGACGTCTTCCAAGTACGGGTGCCCAGTGTCCCAGGAGGTGCTGATGGCAGCGTGTCCGGGACCACCGTCTACTTGGAGGTGGTGGGATACACTAACTATCTCAATACCATTGATGAACAATATGATAGCATAGCTCAGCCATCACTATTCGCCCGGGCCCCAAACGCAGATGGAATTAATCATCTAGGCTTAGTTTTTGAGTGCAGAAATGATAGAGGGCGGATATATTACTATGAGAAAAGTCGATTAGAGCAGGTCATTCTCAGTTTTCCCATAGGGCTATACAAAAACTTCCAACTGAAGGAAGCAACATACCCACACCATTTCAGGAATGAAGAAAAACTCGTATGGCCTTTAAACAGAAGAGCTTGCGATGATGCGGGAGAATTGAGGCTCGAGATGCCTGTGGGAAGGCGTTCAACACTCCATTGGGACTGGGAGAATCACTTTACCGCCGTTTGGCCTTTACCTTACATGTCTGAAGTGGGATATGATCTACCACCTAAGCAAGATCCTTGGCTAGTCAGAATTGTCTATGTTTATGAAGTTACAGGTGACAACTTGCTCTGCGGAGTGATCATCCATAGCAAGAATTACCTGGGTAAAAAAGAATTTAGACTTTGCCCGATGATAGAAGATCCTCGAAACACCAACTGAGAATGATTAAGAGCGGCTTAGAATATGACTAGACAATCACAGTTAAGATGATAGATATATGATACATTTCGCCATCTTCAAGCATGTTATTGTTGATATTATCTAGGTAGCTTTGAATATGAACGTATCCGGGTGCAATGTGGTTCGACCCTCGCCGCGGCAATCCTTATAATCGATACAAAGTACTAAGGAACAGTTCGGTAAAGTATTTCTCTCTAGTGGGATATTGAATCTGTGGTTATGTAGATAGGCTTCAGAACAAAAAGCACGAGTAGATTGCTGATTAATCAATTCAGGGGTAACAATGAAAAAGGAGGTGATTCGCCCAACCCCGAACCGGTACGTGTACATACCTCTTTAGGTAGGTAATTATTGAGAAATATTCAAGGCTGAATAGAATGTGAATGGATTCATATTTTCGTACCAAGATCGACGATCATATGGTGGAGTTTCCACTTTTGCTGCGGCGCAGCAAGGCAATCAACCATTTCACAGCCTCAAGGCATTCCGTTGCGTCACGCCAGCAGTACGAAGTAGTTCGATTCCTCATCGTTCTTATACTTAAAAGTCAGGAGTATCCCAAAAAGGGTACACTCTATCTAAATAAGGCTTTCCTTCCATAAAACTATCAATCCGTAACCCTATTTCTGGACTCGCACTATGAGCAAAGCAGAGGGTCCCCGGCTTCTGCTGCACAACGAGGGGCGAAATAACGATCTCGACGATGATTTGCCAGCATACAAACCAAATAAACCTAAATCGAAACGTGCTCGAGGTAGCTTGCCGTCTTATGACGAAGCTGCCGAACCCAGCTGGTCCTTAGTGGATCACCCTCCATGCGCCCACTTATCGGAGAGCGGCTGCATGATGATTGCTAAGAGCAATCTTTGCTGTGCTTGTATGGATAATCGACCATTGTCAGAGTCTGGACTATATCCGATGTATGTTGATGGTGAGGGCTGGGTTGAGAGGGCTCAGAAATGGCAGTTTTATTGCCCTAACTGCCAAGGTGAGTTGCGTTAAGTTGCTGGCTACCTGGTAATCGACATCGCATAAATTTCATCGAGTGCTTTCGCTTTTATATCAGTCTTAAACTAACAGCGAGTAGAGTACTTCGACCCGGACGCAAAGAGAAAACAACTGCGAGATCAATGCATGTGGGCGGAAGCGCGTGCTCAGTCTTTAGCTGACGAGCGGGACAAGAAGTATTTCGGCCTCGGGCGCTGGATCCATCTCTGTAGTGAGACGGTGAAGAAGTGCTTCTCAGAGTAATCCATCGCAGCATAACGTCGTCGTCTCAATGGTGGCTTGGGCACCCGCAGTTGTATCAATGCGGAATCTATTGTACGTCAAGAAAGAGGGAGAAGAACGCACAGTGAAAGTACATCACTTCAAATATTTCATATGGAATGTTTTAATACCCACGTGTTGTACTTATTTATATATAGGAGTTTCTAATATACCCATACGTCTGGTCTTAAGGGATCTGAATACATACTTTCCCCTGGTGCTTACCCGAAGCCAGATATTCATATGCCTCCTTCAACTCTTCCAGTTTGAAGACCTTAGGATCAACAACGGGACGTAATTTCTCTAAGTTAGCCTCAATGGCGCGTCCCATATCTTCCATCTGCAGTCGAGTACCCGTCCATATGCCACGAGCCGTAAACAGATTCATCCAAGTCTCCAACAAGCCCGGCATCTCCTTATTCTCAGGACCGCTCCCAACAGCCCCCATAACAACCATAACACCGTCAAGCTTTATACTCTCCACGCTCTGCCTCATCGTAACCGGGCCCGCGACCTCGACCACGAAATCAACTCCGACTCCCCCCGTTAGCTCCTTCGCCTTGGCGCCCCACTCAGGCGTCTCGCGGTAATTGATAACGTGGTCGGCGCCCAGCCGCCGCAGCAGCTCCGCCTTCTCGGCGGAGCTCGTGGTGGCGATGACGCGCGCGCCCACCGCCTTCGCGAACTGCACGCAGAAGACGCTCACGCCGCCGGTCCCGAGGGTCAGCAGCCAGTGGCCGGCGGCCAGCGGGCGCCCCGGCAGGCCGAACAGCGCGTTCCAGGCGGTCACGCCGGCGCAGCCCAGGGTCGCCGCCTCGACGAAGCTCAGCCCTTCGGGCGCGCGCACCAGCCCTTGCTCGTCGAAGGCGCCGGCGGTCCGGAAGGTGCCGTCGATCGAGGCGCCGAGCCCGAAGGCCGACAGCGGCGGTGTGAAGGAGCCGCCGATGAGCTTCGGGTTGAGCGCCGTGACGACCTTGTTCCCCGCCGCGAAGCGCGTGACGTGCCGCCCGACGGCGAGGACGGTGCCCGCGCCGTCCGAGCCAGGGACTACGTTGGGGATGGTGGCCCAGGGGTAGGCTCCTTTGGCGATGACGAGGTCGCGGAACTGGGGTTGGGGTTAGTGCGGCGGCTCGGAGAGAATGGCGGATGAGGACGTACGTTGAGCGAGGCGCCGTGGACTGTAGACGATGTCAATAGGTAGGTAGTGAGATTATAGCCGAGAATTAGAATACTCACGCTTAACGAGAACTTGGCTATCCCCGAGCTGAGGCACTGGCTGCTCTGAAAGCTGGAGAGAATCGGGGCCATTCTGGCCTGTCACATTCCATTGCTTTACGGTCTGGGGGATTGACTGGGCCATTGCGAAACGTGGGCTTCGTTAACGCTTCGTCTAGGTAGTGCCGCTAAGTAACTCATCATTGATATATGTTCCCAGCTATTCATATACCAGACAAAGTTGAAGTAGTATTGTTGATTTGTCAGAGGACACTGTGAATGTTGATTTATAATCATACTGCCATATTGTTAACCCACATTTTCTAATTTGGGTAACTGTCGTCTTCGTCGACGAATAAGAGGTAATAGAGTGACACATAGACTATTGGATTCAAGTTAAGTCTTAGTCAAGAGCATGCCATATTCGTCATGTCAATGCAATAAGTTTCCAGCCCGTAGTTTCATCGAGTTAGGTACCTCCATGATACGCGTCGGATGCATTAAAGCCGTTCCTATTTAGTAATTTTATATTCACTATGTTCCATACATAGATCGAAGTTATTTGAGTCCTTCGTTATGTAATCCATCCTCACATAGTAGAGTAGGCGGAACTTAAAGAAAAGGGGAATAACTGCACGAGGAGCTCTAAATTCCCTCGTCCCGGGGCTTCGATATATATACAAGAGAAGCCTTTTGTCTATCCTGCTCTAATCCCAATCACCAATGGGTCTCCCCAGGACCTCCCACTGTCTCCCATGGGTCGAGCTCATGTCCTATTCGACCCCGAGATATTAGTCCCTCTTAACAGACCAGACTCCTAACAGTAGCACCTCCTTCATTGTATATACATATGTTTGATTGAAAGGGCCATTTTCCAAGAGAATTCCGGTAGTAGTGGCAAAAGGGGAATCGCCATGTGATATGTCCCCAAGTTTATCCAGAACACCGAGGGATACCTACCTATGCATGTAGGTATCCATGCCATATATTGTACCTATCTTGCGCATTCCTGAGGCTTAGGACTTCAAGTGGATTAAAGGCCATAAGTCGTAGGCATATTTTAGGTAGCTTACCTAATACTCTTAGGACGAAAAGGGGGTCGAGATCCAGATGGATACTAGTGGCATTTCAATTTAAGCGTTATTGCATATCGCAGCATATGACCGTTTAGAGCAGATGATACACTTGATAATTAAATTTTAGGTGGAGCAGCATGGGGTATTTAACTTCCCGGCATCCGCCGTCCATACGTAAAATTGTGGTTGTGACTGCAAACCAACATGTAGACTTTGGCGTTGTACAAAAACTTTATGTTGACAACAATTAAAGACTCTTATTATATTTAGGTAATATTCTTCGATATAGTCTCTAATACAAACACGAGTATCGCGAAATCAAAAATTTGTTACATCATCCATAGGGGAGATATACGTGGGGTAGGAACAGTTGCGTAACGGTGCCGGATTTTGGAACCGTTCCAAACAAAGGAATCATTAGGCTTCCCATCCATATACTGGAACCGTGCCGTAACGGTGCCAAGATTTGGAATAGTTATAGTAAAATGTAATGCTTTATTTTTATTATTTTATTTATTTATACGTATTTATTCATTTATTTAAGTTTATTTATTTATTTTAATTAATTATTTTTATTTATTTATTTATTAAATTTATTTATCTATAATACAAGGTTTTTATTTTAATTGGAAGCTAAGGATTTACCACTACACTATCATAATCTACGGTACAAACCTTCGCGCTAAAACTGTAGATAAAGTTTAAGCCCGCGAGAGCCTCACTTTTTAAGTTTGGCACGTTTTCTAAGTCTGGCACGCTTATATTTTTTAATTTTCCAGTTTTTTAGCTTTGGCATCGTTGGCATCATTGTAACCTTTGACACACTTTGCAAAAATTTAAAAAATTAGAAACGTGTCAAACGTGCCAAAATCTATAAGCGTGCCAAACCTTAAAGCTGTACCATTCTTTGGAACCGTTACGGCAGCCCTTGGCACCGTTACGCAACAGTTCCTACCCCACGTATGTTTCCCCTATGGATATCTATGGAACGTCTTTAGTCTATCGCTCGGCTAACAAGCCAGGTACGATACCACACTTTACACATACGTTTTACGAAGATCTCCTGATAAGTGACCGTTAGCGCGTTTTCCCTTGTCCTGATTATCTCTCCTATCAACGGCTAAGACCTTAGACAACCATGTCCAGCCATGCCCGACCATGTCGCATGTCACAACAAGGCGACCCTTAAAATCCCAGGCGCCCCCAATTTACATACCCTTACGTACACCACGCCGATGGCCTTAATAAGATCTGAGCCTCGATGAAAAGAGTCGTGCTGCGACGTGGAGAGCATCTACGCATTAAGATGAGTCTCCCCACTAGAGGCCGAAGATGATACGAAATCATAGCAAGTTTCTCGAGTACACCATTACCTGATTGGGCCATATAGCCCGGACCTCACAACTTAGGTAATGAGCACTGAACTAGCTTATCTATTCCCATTGATATCTTGAACCAGGATCGATGATCGGACTGTGTCTTAGCTAACGGCATTAGAAGAACGGGCGTGTCGTGCGTGTCGAGCGTATCGTTGATGTGCATGAAAATCTTACATATACCTTGTCGCGCCTGCATATGTCCGTCATGGCACGCCGCCTCGATATCACCTATTCAAATACCGAGCAAAGCTTTCCAGCTTCAGCCTTGCTCTGTTTCTTGTTTTATAAGTCGCTCTCTGAGGCCTTTAATGTAGAGGCGAGCTGAGAAAATTCTCATTTATTACCCTCCATTACCTCCATAATAGACGCTGGCGCCATCAAGTTCGATTGAAGAGACGCATATCCTTATCTATTCGCTCCGCGAATCTAAAGCGCCCAGATAACATACGTGAGAATGGCAGAGAATACAACATCCCTCGAAAAGAAGCTGGGACCAGAGCTCGGAGGATTGAACGATGATACAGTTGCCGCCGTTGACCATGGTGTCGAAGTTAACGCAGCTGGTTATAAAGATCAGCTAAAGCGACAATATGGTCTTCTCGGCATCGTCGGTATTGCGCTCACGGTGGACAACGCCTGGGCAGCTTTAGGTTCTTCGATCTCAGTTTCTATTCGTAAGTAGAGCCTTGTTCTAGACAGAGCCACAGTGTTACAAGTTTACATAACATAAACTTACATTTCACTGCTCACAGTCAACGGCGGCCCACCGGGTCTCATTTACGGACTCATTGTTGCGCTCTTCTGGTATTCATTCATAGGAATGAGTTTAGCTGAGGTATGTCACAGCTTACTTTACCTCCCTGTTCTTGACTTTCCTGTTGGGTTTGAAGTATATCGTGGTCGCGTCAATTGATTCTAACTTCCATAAGCTGGCTTCATCGGTTCCTACTGCGGGTGGTGTCTACCATTGGGCTACCATCGCGGCCGGTCCGAAATGGGGACGAGCTGTAGGGTTCTTTACGGGATGGATCAACTTCTACGGCTGGATGTTTGATTTGGCTGCCCTAATCCAAATTACGGCCAACATCCTCGTCCAGATGTATGCGACTTACCATCAAGATACCTACGTTCCAGACGCCTGGCACGTCTTTGTCACATACCTTGGCGTCCTATGGCTCTCAGCTGCCTTCGTTATATTTGCCAACAAACTCGTCCCGTATACGCAGAATTGCGGCATGTTCTTCGTCCTCGTTGGAGGAATCATAACTATTATTGTGATATCGGCAATGCCGACTACTCATGCTACCAACCATTTTGTGTGGGGTTCATTCAAAGAAAACAACTGTAAGTAAAGTTCGGAATGCTTAAATCCTTCTAGGTGAAGTAGTTTCAATTACTGACATAAACATTGTAGTGACGGGTTGGCAAGACGGAGTCGCATTTCTCCTTGGCGTCTTAAACGGAGCTTTCACTATCGGTACACCCGACGCCATCACTCATATTGCAGAGGAGCTTCCGAGACCAAAGAGAGACCTTCCAAGAGCCATGGGGCTTCAGATTGGGTTGGGATTCCTTTACGCGTTCATCTTCGCTATCGCACTAGGCTATGCCATTACGGACATCGAAGCTTTACAAGGTGGAATCAACACGTACCCCCTTGCTGTTATATACCAACAAGCAACCGGAAGTCCAGCTGGAACGTTTGGCCTCTTGTTCGTCCTGTTCCTTAGCAGTATTTGCTGTTGCGTTGGAACAGTGCTGACTAACTCACGCACGTACTGGGCCCTTGCTCGCGATAAGGCCGTGCCTTTTTACGGTATTTTTGGTCAAGTTAACGAAGACCTAAGCTGTCCTGTATACGCTACCCTGTTTGTCACGGTAATTGCTACGGGACTTGGAGCCATTCCGCTAGGAAGTTCGAGTGCTTTCTTAGCTCTTACTGGGTCTTTCATCGTTCTAACAACTGTATCATACGTGATTCCGTTCGCCGCAAACTTGGCAACTGGCCGAAAGAACTTCCCCCCAGGCCCATTCCACATGGGAAGATTTGGTTATGTGATTAATTCTACGGCTGTCTTGCTAACCACTCTATTTGTTATCCTTTTCTGCTTCCGTAAGCCGCATCTATTCATTTTCATTAGCTTCATGACTAACTTTACTATTCTAGCCTACGAATTACCTACGACGGCCGAAGCCATGAACTACAACAGCGTAGTACTTGTAGGCACCGTTACCCTCTCTACGATTTGGTGGCTTATCCACGGATCTCGTCACTACCCGGGACCTAAGGTGATGAAGTTATATATCCATAACGATGTAATTGAAACGAACGGCGAAGAAGTTAAGAATACCGGAACATCGCTAAATAACGAAAGCATTCCAACAACCGAAAAATAGACGATAGACTTCAATCGCGGGGACCAGAAAAAAATATAGAATGGCGGAAGGCGGGATTCGGTTTCATCATTTTGGTATCCGGTTCTCTTGAATCAGAGACCGTACTGCGAATTATACATCATCTATATACCATATACCATAGGGCTAGGTGTTTCAGGTTTGTCTAGAGGTCCTAAAGATCTAAGACAGTCGTTCAGCAATTTATTTTGAATATTTCCAACAGTCAAAATTCACAGATCACGTCTAGGGAGAAGATGTTACAACTGGAACAGGCTGATGCGTTTAGGTTACGGTTGTATTTCGAATCGAGCTTCTCGGAGAGCGTCGCGCCGACCTCGTTCTCCTTACATTAGGGTATCGCCCGTGAGCCTCTTGGCTTCCTTGGGGGACAATGTCTCTTTCCCCGCATTCCATGCTGTCAATGATCTAGTCTTCAGAAATCTAGATCTTGTTAAAGTCGGCCTGAACAAGGATCTTGTAGAACATTCTTGGAACACAGCCTGATTACTTGTAATGATGAAAAGCACTTCACTGCGTTCCTGGTATTTTATAATTCCGGTCCACAGATTACTGTGTGGGGAATCCATGGGCTAATGCGTGTGGTTGCTGGATCTGTTGTTGCATTGCATTCACAGTAACTAACTTAGTACCAGGGCGGGACAATAATTGGAGGACCATAACAATGACCCTGTTAAAATTAAACCAGCTACTTTCCGAATTTATGGATGGAGCAGTACGATCCGTCTAATTGGAGAGATTCCAAGAGAGACATTACTCGTAATAGTGCTACACTACCAAGGGGGTATCGTACGAGTCAACGGTGGTCGCTCGTATCTGTACAAATATGAAGCTCCTGCCGTCCTGTTTTCTAGAATCCTCTCGCTAAGCTATCCTCAACTTTGTTCAGTGGGTCGAATTGTTAACGATCAAGATGAGATATCTCGGAGCTACACTTCTCTCACTCATTAGCGCTGCCTGGGCCGCAGCTATCAGCGCATCGAGCGTAGCTGCCGTATCCTCTCCCGCCGCCGCGGACTATCCGAAGACGGACGGGTTGCTTTTCAACATCGACGGGGAAACCAAATACTTCGCTGGCACGAATAGCTACTGGATCAGCTTCCTAACGAACAACGCAGACGTGGATAAGACGCTCGACGCACTCGACCAGGCCGGGCACAAGATCTTGCGCGTCTGGGGTTTCAACGACGTAACGTCCCAACCCGGGGGCGGAACTGTGTATTTCCAACTCTTGTCCAGCGGAGGCTCAACGATTAACACGGGGGCAAATGGCTTGCAGCGGCTTGATTACGTGGTTGAAGCCGCGGAAAAAAGGGGCATCAAGTTGATCATTAATTTTGTTAATAATTGGAGCGATTACGGAGGCATGCCGGCTGTGAGTTGATGCCTTGGTGTCCTAAGCTCTCATTTTCTTCGTCTCGGACTACCCACCTAGTATGTCATCTTATGAAGAGGTTCTCACATCTACAGTACGTGACCGCCTTCGGAGGCAGCCAGACAACCTGGTACACCAATACCGCAGCGCAGACCCAATACAAGGCATACATTAAAGCCGTCGTGTCGCGGTACGCCAATTCGTCTGCCATCTTCGCATGGGAGCTCGCCAACGAACCGCGCTGCAACGGCTGCGAGACTACTGTTCTTACAGACTGGGCGGCTACTACGTCCGCCTACGTCAAGAGCCTTGATCCGAACCACATGGTGACTCTTGGAGATGAAGGGTTTGGCTTAGCCGGAGATGGAAGCTACCCTTATCAGTTTGGAGAAGGCCTCGATTTCGCGGCGAATTTGAAGATCGAGACATTGGACTTCGGCACGTTTCATTTGTATCCGAGTAGTTGGGGCACGGAGTACGATTGGGGCAATGGCTGGATCGAGGCCCATGGCAAGGCGTGCGAGGCAGCGGGGAAGCCGTGCTTGTTTGAGGAATGTGAGTTATCCCGTTCTCTTCTGCTCGAAGTCATGCGAGGCTAAAGGTGTGGGGTAGATGGTTCCACGACCGACCACTGCGGTATCGAGGGCAAGTGGCAGAACACGTCCCTCTCGACAAAGGGGTTGGCGGCGGATTTGTTTTGGCAACTGGGTATGACGCTAAGTACGGGACAGACGCATAACGACGGATTCACTATTTACAGCGGCTCATCGGAGTGGACTTGCTTGGTTACGAATCATGTTGCTGCTATTGACTAGAAAGAGGGGTCGCGTAACCGTCCGAGCTCGGGCAATGCTTATATGGTGGTAAGCGACGATTAGGTTCGATACAACTTCTACCTAGTCATTACATCATTCGACATTACCTCTATTCCGTTACGACTGAACCATGCAATGCCGGTCGAACGCAAGTGTTTGCACCACCCACTACAATTTCCAATTAATATAATCTAACGAGTATTCGGCGACGTACTACAATATAGAAACGATAGTTACGACGTCGCGATTATGTCACAATCTACACATTATGTGCATGAAACGAAAATGATAAAAGAAACTATGTGGGCTGTGAGAAGCCTCTATGCAGTCAAGTCTACACCGGTCGACGATATGGCGTCTCTAATTACGCAAAATATTGAGTGCCGCTGCCGCCAAGGAAGCGATCAATGTTCAGCTAGCCACTGAATATCTTACTCTTTAGTATGATTCGTTTGATTCTCCATACAACCTGTTATTTTGACTGTTCATACATAAGCCCGTCTGCTTGATCGCATGTTGTGAGACGCATCTTCTCAGCTGTCAACCGAAGAACGACGCGGGGCCCTGTCATTCAAGCTCGACCACCACCTGCTGAGAGGGCGAGGGAGTTGTCGGGTTCATCTATAAATCGCCCCAAATCTTCTCATCTCCCATACCATGATCTTTCTTCACCACTATCACCTCTTTGGAGCTTGAGCTTCATTCTTTTCTCAACACACTTATTCCTACCACATTGTATCTCAATCCCTTGAACATGCCAGGCCTTCCGACCTGCTCCCCTGTTGGCTTCGGCCGTCACCCATCTGCTCCATATCCTTATGTTCCATATGCGGGCGAACTGAATAGCCAATTCAATCCTATCATCATCATGCTTGTTGGGTACCTCGAGAAGTTAAACAAGCCACATGCACTTGACCATGCCGTCAAAGAAGCATATCAAAAGTCGACTAAATTAATGAACACATTTAACATCACAGGAGCCAATTCATTCTTGAAGTTCGCGAACGACCTCCTGAGATGGATCCCCCACGAGAGCAGCGAAGGGAAGGATGTTTACAACATCCTCTGCATCTTCTACTTCGTCTTCAACCAGCACCCTCTGAAGGATATCCAAACTCCTATCACTCCCGATGTGGTTGGCCAGCCGTTGACCTGGCTCTCATCCTGGCTGGTCGTATATTCTCAGCTCGTCGGCCAATGGATGGACACCCGGGATTCTCTTACGGCAGAGTCTTTGGAGACCTTCCGGCAATCGCCTGCATACAGCATGGATGAAGCAGAAGAACCCTCAGGAGGTTGGAAGACCTTCAATGAGCTCTTCGCCCGATCGCTCAAGCCCGGCTCAAGGCCCATCGCAGACCCGGATGATGACACGGTCATAGTCTATCCTGCTGATTGTAGATACGATACGTCGCTCGAATATCACTCGGTCAGCATTTCGTCCACGGGAACTGTACTCATAAAGGGTCTCCCCTGGACTATCAGTTCGCTGCTCCAGGGGAGCGAGTTTGGAGACTACTTTAACGGGGGCGTATGGATGCATGCCTTCCTAAACGCGTACAACTATCACCGCCAACATGCTCCGGTTGCGGGCAAAGTGCTCGAGGCAAAGGTCGTACAAGGTACCTGCTACCTTGAGGTCAACGACGACGGAGAACCCCAGCGTACTATAATTGGGCCTGGCCTTCAAGCCACCGAGGACTACAAGATTCAAGCCCCAGACACACCAGGCTACCGTCAGTCATTCACTTTACCTCCTGGTTTATCTCCTCCATTCAATTCTAACTTGATAACATAAATACCTACTAATTGCCATCGATACAGAATTCCTACAGACTCGAGGCATAATAGTTATCGAAAACGATACCTTGGGTAAGGTAGCAGTGTGTATGTGATTAATTCCTTCTTAATCCTTAGGCAAGACAGAGAACCTTCTAGTCGAACTCATGAAAATTTACCACTAAGCCCTTCAATCTCTTTCTAATGAGAGACATTGTTGCTAACTGATAATACTATAGTACCCATCGGCATGGCCCTTGTCTCTGGAGTGAAACTATCAGTCAGTGCGGGCCAGGAATTGAAGAAGGGAGATGAGATCTCGAACTTCCTGTTTGGAGGATCCGACATCATCTGCGTCTTCGAGAAAAAGGCAAATCTAACCCCTGACTGCTTTGTGTCTTCTCCTGACCCTCCGGAGGAGGAACCCTGGAACAACTACTCTAAATACGGTACCAAGTTGGCCAAAGCTGAACCTCAGGCATAGGCATCTTAGTGCCGTGATCAGGGAGGAAACTTGCTAATTCACATTACAATCACGGTATATCCAAGGCTATAGTACCTAACCAATCACACTCATTTTGGTCAATGCTTAGTACCTAGGTAGTTCGGAATAATAAACTCACTCGTTCATACCTGTACAAGTGCCACCGAGACGGCTTCTCAGCTCCAGCCTTGAGGGATAAAAAAGCTATTACTGATCCTAAATTTCACTTTCCAATCAGAAAATTTTCTTTAGCAAGTTTTCACCGAGACGTAGCCTACGTAACTCAACTTGATAGGACACCGAAAAACTGCAAGGCAACCATAGGAATGCCATGCTGCTCACCGAAGTGATCGCTAGATTCGAATCCTCAGCTCCCACCCTTGCAGTAGTTGAGCCTCTCCCGATCCACTTGTCCTATTCCCCCCACGTAACCCGCGTTAGGTATCTTCTCGTAAATAGTACGTAGTTTGACATGGGTTTTAAGAGAACATCATATCGAAGCATATTAATCGATTACCCGTCAAACGAGGCATTTGTATTAACAATGATAAAGATCTAGCCGACCTTCATAATGTATGGTCACAAGGCACTGCCGTATGTATACTCCCGCTCGCTATCCCGCTCGCCAAACCAAGGGATATCACAACGCGAGCACCCAATATCCAAGACGTCAGCATTGGAACTTCTAATCCTGTCGTAGCCCGTATAATTCTCATCAAACATGGACGTCATTCAACCCACCGTCGCGCCGTCTTTCTGTCCGGCCGGCGTCCTAGGTTGCAAGCCCAACTTCTGCATAAACTTGAACGTAGCCTTGTTCTCCGTGCGCCTGAGCTCCTCCTTCTCCCTTTCCTTCTCCAGGACCTTCCTTTCCGTGGCCGCGCTCTGACTCTTATCCCTCTCTTCCTCCTCCCTCCTCTCGGCCTCTTCCGGGTCTAGTATCTTTTGCTTCTGTTTCGTCAACTTCTGCATCGCCTCTTTGCCTTTCCTCTTAGTCTTGACGTACGCCTCTAGCCCCACTAGCACCGCGTAGCTCTTGCTGATGCTCACGTGCGACATGTCGACGCCCTCGTCCTCGAGACTGTGCACGAAGGCGCGGAAGTTGGAGGCCGGCGGGCGGTAGTGTCCCGAAAGCGGGGACAGGCTCGACAGGCGGCCGTTCTTGATCTTGATAAGGCCCGCGGCCGAAATCCTTGACCCCTGAAGGAAAGAGCTGTGCTGGAAGGCGCCGCTGTTTTTGATGCCGACGTACAGGCGGAAAGAGGTGTCGGCCACGAAGATCCACGTGTTCTTGCGCACCGTCTTGCGTAGCAGCTTATTGAAGATGGTTGCCGCTGACACGTGCCGGATCTTGCGAACGCCTTTCGCATTATCAAGCCCGGGGTTCGCGTATTTGGCGGCCATTGCGGCTTCTAGTCTTGATTCTCGCGATGAATCCGAGGATGGGGTGGAATCTGAGTGATCCTGTGAATGGGCTTGTGGGGCTGCGTCGATGGTGGATTTTTCTTGAATGTGTGACTCGACGACGGGGGAGAATGCCGGTGTAGGATCGTCCGCGGGTACAACACCGTGAATACTGTCCTTCCAATTTTCCGTCGTGTCGATTCGCATGCCATTCTTCGCCCAAACAAGTCGCCCTTCTACATCTACTTTGACTAAGTAATATTGCCTTTCCTCTCTGCTCAAATATCGGACTTGTTCGCGATCCAGCCTTTCTCTCGGACAAGCAACCAAATCTATTTGTCTGCCTTCGCCATGGTCTAACCAGTAAAAGAAATTCTCATTGGTGTTAGACCTCTTCCATTCTTCATGATATACTCGCAAATTGCTCCCGTAGCGGTGTTTGAGGTCCACCATTTCCAAGAAATATGGCAATCCCAACATTTGAGCGTGCTTTCGTCTCTTGGCCTTGGCTTTCATCCATTTCTTCCTCGCCTCTGCTCTCTTTTCCGCACTCATTCCTTGTAACTCTGCTTCGTCGAGCGACGATGTTGAAGCGTCGTCCGAGTGGCTGGAATCCTCGTCTCCGCCAGCACGCCGGGCTATTGTCGCAACTTTCATCCAATTCCTTCGTGCCGCGGACCGACTACTACTAGGCCTTCTCCCACCATCAGCCTCTTCCTCGATACTCATCGTGCTGTTCTGTCGTGCTCGGGGTGTGGTTAGGTTTTTCCACTGCGCATCTCTTATAGCATGAGTCCATCTGGTGCTTGCGTCTAAGCCCAATCCTCGCATCTCTCTGCGCACACGGTATCCGCGATAGGCCCGCTGTATTACCGTTGCTGCCTTTGACCTGATGGAATCTTCCGGACCATTTACCCCATCAGTTGCGACGCTCTTATTGCTCGGACTAGAGCGCGATTTAGAATGCGAGAGTCTGTGTCCGAATATGGAGCGGCGACGTCCCATATGTTCTTCCTCCTCTTCGGCCGCTTTCGTCTGCATAAAGTCTTGCCTTGCTTCCATGCTCTTCTGTGCGATAGCTATACTCCGATGACGTAGCTCTTGGCTGCGGCGTTTATGTTCCCTCTCGCGCTGTTCCTGTAGTTTTGATAACCTCTGGAATTCTTCTTCTGACGGTGGCTTCAAAGAGTCCAAATACTCTTGATGGCTCTTTTGCGACGTAATGGATCGGTCAGGTGAAGTTATAGACTCTCTTTGCGGCGGGCCGGGTGATGATGGTGGGGTTAACGGCAGCGACCCTGGCTCTGGGGCGGGATTCTGCGGGGCTTGCGATGACGACGGAGATGCAGATGGAGACGGGGATAGAGATAAAAAGGAAGGCGATCGTCTATGCGTAGACGGCGGCGTAGGTGACGTATCTAGCGTATGGTCGATAGGGTCTCTTTCGGGCATTTTGCCACTTAGATCGGTAGAGACCATCACCGAGAAGCAAAGTAGGGAGTCCCTAAAGTTGTAATACAATAGGGGAATGCCATGTGTGACTATTCATAGGTAAAAAGTAGCCATACCATAGGTCCTTAAAGGTCAAATAAATTTAAGGAATTGATAAATGTATGTAGGTGCAGTGAGGAGCTTCGACTCGAAAGCCTGATCTTGTATGTATGTAGCTTTGTTCAATATGACGTAATAACCTATCAAGGTATCCGTATGTTTGAACTAACCGGTTAAGCGGCATGTTGCGATGCGATATGTACACGCCTCAATGCAAGATTTAGTCTGTGTAACGAGCTGACGCTATCGGCTGGAATAGAATATAAATTTAGGAGTGTTGTCTTCTTCCATTCTTTACCGTTGTGTCACACAAAATTCACCAAAAACTTGAGATACTAACTAGATCAAATTAGATCTATTGCCTCTGACATACCCTTCCAATGGCGATTCAAAGAACTACTCGTAGTGTGAGAACTGATAATAAAGTGACTATTAAGACATTAGTACCTATCTAAGAGCCATGAACGTGTCAAACAAATCAAATAGATTTCGACAAAAAGCTGATTTGACCTGAAGTAAGTGGTATGTCAGGACATGCGTCACCTCGACAGCCCTATGGAATGGTCTCAGCCTGTGCGACATCAGCAGGTCTAGACTTACATAAGTGCATGTTATTATGTAAGGTACATAGGTACGTGAACATATCCCTAGCAGTACTTAATACCTTCTGATATAGTTTGACCACACAGTGCTAATTTGACTCTCGCAAACCTTATCCCATTGTAGGCAATTAGTAGATAGGAGGTGCCATCTGAGTCGAAAGGCAAGTGCCCCAGTGCTAGACCATAAAGGAGGTAACGGAGGTACACTGTAGAAACCGCGCCTGCACTGCAAAAGAGTGATGTAGTTAGTACCAAGCGGCAAGCGATAGATGTATCCGTCAATTGATGACAGCAGCGCCCAGAAAGTTTTTGGGTTTGGGAACATTGAAATTTTCTTGAAGTTGAATACCTATACTTAGTACCTACCTGTCTGCTTAATCTTCAATGCCAATGTCAATGTCAATGCGCAATTGAAGAATACCATATTGTATCCCATTCTCAACCTCTTGCCGTCCTATGCCACCAAGCGATCGCCATGACAATTTCTTGTACATCAAATGGCTACCTCTACGCGACGAGTTGAACCGCATCAGCGCCCGCAGAAACATTACCAGCAGCGTATGAGCCAACCTCCGCGACGCGCCCTCCTTCATCAAGATAAACACAATAACCACAATAACTCAGCTGCTGCAAGTCTTGACGCCGGTAGCGTGGCTGTTAAACATGCCCATGCTATGGCGACACACATCAAGACGCGAAATTCACAGAGTATCTTACAACAGCCTAGTCCACCTCGAATGAAGCGTCCATTCGACCCCATTGCGAACAACTGCGATCCTCATAAGTCTAAGAGAACCCGAATAACAGTCGAGATTCTAGCCAGACCCATCCAACACACTAGTCCTCCAAAGACCATCACTGTGAGGCCCCAACCACAACAACAATCCCCTAACCTCACTGCTACTACTACTGCTACCAACCAACCGATCGCAACCGCTGTCGCAACGACTCATAAATCGTCTCCTCCCGTTCTACAACCAGATTCCAAGACGGCGACATCAATAGAACCTCCTTTGAAAAAACACAAGGCGAAGGCTATCAATGGAATTAGACATGAATTGGACAGGCTGCAACCAAGCGCAGCTGACACGAGTTCGGCGAGAGAACGGCCCGGTCGCAAATTGAGATCACAAGAGGCGACTAGATTCAAGAGTGAATTGTCGGCATATTTCCCCGATTATGACGAAGTAATCGGCAATGATCCTAAAGAACAACGTAAGTACAGGATTTATTTCAGTGCTACCAACAACCCAACAATGCGACATCAACCCTCAACCCTTCTAATGCATTCAATTGCCAGCGGTACTGACGATTCTATTAAACAGATATCCTCAACCTTGATACCCCAATTATCGTCGTCGATACCCGTCCCCTCTCCGATACTCGTCAATCACAAGCCCCTATCCCTTCTCCACATTCAGCGCTAGATTCCTGTGTTCCACCCCACTACGATACAGTGCGAACGTACGGAGATCATCTGTTCGACGACCTACACGATTCTCAAAGAGTTAGCTTCGCTTTTCTCCAGACAAGAGACAACGACAAAGATGTCGAAGATCCTCTGCCAGATACCTATTTCGAACCAGCACATAAGAAAGCCGAAAGACTAGAGAAGTCTATTCGCAACACCGAGAAAGGTCGTGCGCAACATGAGAAAGATCAGATTATCCGACTGCTCAACGAGCTACAAGGTCACGATTGGCTGAGGACGATGGGCGTCAGTGGCGTTACCGAAAGCCGGAAGAAGACCTTCGAACCTGCTCGAGACCATTTTATCAAGGGCTGTCAGGTGATATTGGAGAAGTTCAGGATATGGAGTCAGGAAGAGAAAAAGAGAAAGCTTAAGAAGGAACGGGCCTTAGCAGAAGAGGCTGAGAACGAAGAAGAGGCTGATGAAGATGACGAGGTCCAGTCAGACGAAGCAGAGGAACCCGATGAGGACATAGCGATAGCTGATGTCGATGAAGCAGAAGATGACGTTTCTGATAACGTTAGCGATGGCGACCCCCCTGATTATAGCGACGTTGATGCATCTGCGAAGCAGCTCCTTGATGAAGCATTGGCACGCGCAAAGTATACGGCCTCTAACTCGAAGAGATCTCGAGGTGAACCGCCTCCGACATCAACGGAGCCTCGTGTGGTGAAAGAGTTCACTTCCTTCTTTAACAAGAAACATCTGCGCGACGCAGCCCTCAGCAAAGGTCGACGAAGAGGTAGAACCGTCGTGGCCTGGGGTCATCCCGTCCCAGATATGATGGAAGACGACTTTGAATTGCCAGAGGAATATCGAGATATGGAGACTCTGAAGGCCCATGAGAGACAGAAGAGGCGAGAGAGACGTCAACGTCAACACTGACTTAGCGTCTCAAGGTATAGCCTCAGGAGTATGTATGAAGCTTCTCCAGGGCTGTCAATCGTCCTTATCTTCGGGCCAATGATAGTGCTTGCCTAGGCTGATGATTAGGGATCCCGATGGTTGAGCCGAGTGCGTGCCTGGGTTTATACATGGTCATATATACGCATTTGCTAGGCACATTAAACGTGTCATCCTCCTTGCGCATCATGGAAGGCACTTAGCTAATTTGGGCGATTGAATTCGCCCATTAGTCAATGAACAGATTCTGCTGCTTGTGGAGATGAAAATGTATTACTAGGATGCGCTATGCTTTTGCTTCTCATAATAAGGCTAATATAATGTGATATCCATCAATCGAGCTGCAGCGTTTTACCTGGAGTAGATGTATGCATAAGTATAGGTACCTATATGTGTACCCTACTATATTCCATGCGATTCGTCAAGGTGTATGCAGGTGCTCAAGTATATGCGAAAAGACGGTTATTTATATGCTTCTCGTCACTGACGCAAGATAAGGCCTACGTTAGGGACCTCCGGGGCTGAAGCTGTTAAGTAAGTGACTGCTAAATGCTAAACTTCTACCTACTAGGTGTAGGTACGGGCTGTCCCACAGTCGCAGCCGTGCACGAGCCAATTAGTAGCACTCGAATGGACCCCTGCCGCCCCATCATATCCATAGTACGTAGCCCGGAACCTAATGCTAAGGCAGGAGATAGGTACACCTATTGAGACGAGAGCTTCCCAAAGTTTCGAAGGCGCGCGCAAAGGTTGTACCTTACGATTTAACTTCACCGGCCCAAAATAGTTTTTTTTGCTCGACTTCGCACGATTTTATGCGACAAGCCACTTGAAATATTTGCTTCCCACACTGTTGATATCGGCAGTAACTTATTAGTAGTACGCGTCTTATACTGCGAACTACAAGTCGCGCTATAATTCTATGCTCATATTCGCATACAAGGATATCGCATTTTTCCAACTCTACATTTCCTACCGTTGCCTACGCAAATAACTCCCTCTTCCTTGCCCAACACCTTCTAATAGTCGCCGAGTCGCCTTGCGCTGTTACGATAATCTTATTGCCGACTCCATTTCTACGTGAAAACCCTTCTACGAGGCGAGACCACCGATGACCACGATTACTTGAGAGCATCGCGGCTTCGCAGACGCCCACAATGCCGGGCATCGTGGAGCCAGAATCCACTGAGAAGGGCGATGCTCCTATCGAGCTTCCTATCGATGATACCCCTCCACGCCCTTATGTCGTCTTTAAACAGAATGTCGATATCGAAATCGACTTTGCTAGGCAGCGTGTCCACGGTCGATCCGAGATACTCGTCGTTCCTATCGAGGACGTTTCCGAGGTGTTTATCGACGCCCGCCAATGCGAAATCGATGTATCTCAGATCTTAGTCAGTAATTGCAAGGTGGAAGCGTCGTATTTAGACCCGTGTGATTTAATACAGACGCCTAAGAACTACCGCTTGTCAGCATCACACTGGGCGATCAAGAAGCATCGTATGAAGCCGTTATTGCACCATCGACGTAAAGAGGTTTCGGCCTTCGATCACGAATTTAAGTGCTGCACGCCGCTGAATGGATCGGTTAGGATTAAGCTTCCAACTAAGGATGAAGTGCTGCAGAAGAATAAGAACCTCCAGAAGTCGGAATTGCAAGAAATGCTTATTACCGCGAATGGCGTAGTAGGCGGCTATAGGATCTGCATACCTTTCAAGGTGAAAAACACGAACGACGGTTTCCAATTTGTCGGCTGCAACGAGCGAGATACTCGATATCCGCACGTTTATACGCGTCATTCACTCGAACCTGGCACGGCATCTGCCATCTTTCCGTGTATCGATGACCCTGGCTCCCGAAATTCGTGGAAGATCTCCGTTACATGTCCTCGCACTCTCGGCGATGCCTTCCGCCGGCTACCCGTGACACAACAGTCCAGGGGTATTGGTGATCCAAATGGAAATCGCAAAAGGAAGCGTGATGAGGAAGATTCTCAAGGCTACGAGAAAGATGGAGGCTGGGTTGAGCTTACCGAAGAAGACAAGATGCTGGATATGACAGTCGTCTGCTCGGGTCAACTCCAGGGAGAAATGGCTCACAAAGACGACGAAACGAAGAAAATAATGACTTTCGAAATTGAACGTAACAAGGCAGCGAAACATGTCGGCTTTGCCGTTGGCCCTTTTGAGCATGTGGACTTGTGGTCAGAATTCCGTCGAGAGGAGGACGACACTAAGCTTGGTGACAGTGCGGTCAAAGTTCATGGGTACTGTCTTCCAGGCCGTGCTGAAGAGGTCAGAAGCACCTGTTGTACCCTCGTCACGGCAGTAGATTACTTGGTACTCTCTTTTGGACGGTATCCCTTCGACAGCTACAAAATATGCTTTGTTGATGACATGATTGAGGATACCGTACCGCTGTGTGCCTTCTCCTTATGTAGCAACAGGCTACTCTATCCCCAGGACATCATGGAAAACGAAGTGGAAGTTGCAAGAAAGCTGGCGTACTCACTATCGTGCCAGTGGTTCGGGGTCAATATTATTCCCAACACCAAAGCAGACACCTGGCTCGTCGTCGGGATTGCGTGGTACCTAACTGATCACTTTATGAAGTACTTATGCGGTAACAACGATTTTAGGTTCCGAATGAAGTCAATGGCAGACCGGCTCGTCCAACTTGATATCAGACGGCCCTGCTTGCAGGATCTTGGCGAGCACCTCTACTTGGGCGACTTTGAGGTTGATTTTATGAATCTCAAGGCACCGTTAGTCTTGTTCATTCTCGACCGACGAATGTCCAAGTCGGCCAATAACATGGGCATATACAAGATAATTGGGAGAATGGTAACCAAGGCAAACACCTCTCTCCAGCCGTCAGATGAGATATTAGGGGCAGATGCCTTCAGAAGAGCTTGTGAGAAAGCTGGGAATCAGAGGCTGGAGCCATTCTGGAACCAGTGGGTACTCTCTTCCGGTTGCCCTAGGTTCGACGTGAATCAACGGTTTAATAAAAAGCGGCTCTGCGTTGAGATGACAATTCAACAGAAGCAAGACGCCGCTTATCGTACCGTCAAAGCACTAGACAAGGACGATTTCTGGAGAGGTGTTATGGAAGAGAACCATGCTGTCTACGCTAGCGAACCTCAGCAATCGTTCACTGGACCAATGACCATTCGAATCCACGAGGCAGATGGCACACCCTACGAACACATAGTAGAAATTCGAGAGGATGCGGCCAAGTCTGTCAAATTCGATATCCCTTACAACACGAAATACAAACGACTAAAGAGGAATCGTCGGCAACGTGAAAGGCAATTAGCTAGTAATACGAGGGCAACCGACGATGCACCTAGGGATATCTACTATTTAGGAGACGTCATACAGCAACCAGATGAGATGGAAGCCTGGGAGTTCCGTGAATGGGATGACGAGACAGAAACTAAGATGGACCAGGAGTCCTACGAATGGATTCGCATGGATGCCGACTTCGAATGGATTTGCGAGATGCAAACTAACATGCCTGCTTATATGTACGCGTCGCAGCTACAGCAAGATAGGGATGTTGTCGCGCAGCAAGACTCGATGTGCTACCTCCATCGAGTCTACTCCACAGTCGGCCCACATCCTCTCATGTCGACGATTTTAGCTCGTACCGTCTTAGATGCCAGGTACTACTACGGAATACGCCTGATGGCGATTGATGAGCTCCCTCGCCATGCTACCAAGGAAGCCACCAACTGGGGGTTGAAACATCTGCTTAAGACTTACCAGCACTTCTTTTGCATTCCTGGAACGTCTACTCCCCTTCCAAATGACTTCTCGGATAAGCGCCAGTACCTTGTACAATGTGCTATTCTAGAGGCTATTGCTCGCATTCGTGGAGAAGACGGCAAGTGTCCCAAAGAAGTACGAAGGTTCATCCTTGAGCAGCTTCAACATAATGACAACAGATACAACATTTATTCCGATCAGCCGTACATCTGTGGATTAATCAAGGCTTTGGCCATCTGTCAAATCCCGGACGACAGGGCCAAACAGAAAAAGGCTGTCCCCTTCGGTCCTATAGATGCTGATGAGGACGAAGCGATGGCTGAGCCCGTCGACACTGAGCCAGAGGAGTTTCGCGACTTAGTACTCGAAGAGATTGACCGCTTCCGTAGGATGGACGAGCATTCACCATCGTTCGAGAATTGTTTTACCATCGCCGCCCTTGACGCTTACTGCCGTCTGATGAAGGCAGAAGTCATAAAGAAAAACCCCGCCAGGTTCATCGAGTACCTACAGGACAGAACTTATGATGTCGTCCGTATAAAAGCTTGTGAATCGCTTGTGGAAATAGGCATGTTGGCCAATAAAAGTTTCCTCCGAATGTTCCTTCTCCTTGCTAGCACAGACCCTTCGCCATTCGTTCGAGAGCGGATATTTAAAGCGTTGTGTCGTGGTCTTGCTAGCATGGCTATTGGAGAAGGTGAGCAGGTAGAGGAGAAGGCGCCAACCCAGCCAGCAGAGGATGGTCTCATCGTCGAACAGGATGATGCTGTGATGGAGGCTAATAAAATCGCGAAAGCTCGCAAAGAGGATCTCTCTGCTGCTCTTACGGCGTTGAAAGCTAAGACCACCGACGACGAAGACTTGCAGGAGGCCATTTGGAAAGCAATGGACTCGCCCGTTCTGACTACGACAGAACAACTCAAATTCCTTGAGCTCTGCTCAGTGCTATTCGATGAAGATCAGTCGTTGATGATGTGTTTCCCTTACCCTAGTTATTGGAAAGCGGAACGCGGGGAGAGGATTCGGAACAAATGCCTCATGAAGTTTAAGCGGCGTTATAGAACAAAGCCGCGCAAACCACGAGTCATTCCTAAACCACCTCCACCTAGGCCTGAGCCTAAGCGAACCATCACTTTGAATCTTAACCGGAGTATGAGTGTGGGCGCAAAGGCAGCAACGCCAACAGCCGAAGCCCCGCCGCCTCCGCCTCCAGCCGCTCCAACTTCGAAGTTCTCAGGTACCATCTCTACTCCAAAGGTTACTATACCGCCTTTGAAGCAACCACCTGTGTCGAAAGAAAAGGTCTCTACGCCTTCTGTGAAAGAACCCGCTTCACAAGAACCCGCGCCAAAGAAGTTAAAACAATCTATCACTGCCTCCGTATCTCGGGGTGCTACTCCATCAGCGTCTCAAGAGAAGCCAAAGGATAAGCTAAAGATAGGCGAGCCTCATAGGGATAGTATCTCTGTTCAGACCCCTGTACGGCCTACCATTGAGCTTCAACAGTCTGAGCCAAAGCCAGCAGTTCCTAAGGTCAACGGAAGCACCCAACCAGCACCGGCGAAACTTCCGAAACCTTCAAAGCCTATAAAGAGGGCGAGTACGGAGAGCGAAGGTTCTCGGCCAACCAAGTTTGTCAAGCTCAATACTTCCAAAATTCCAAGAAAGGAACTGGAGAAACTTCAGAAGCGACAGAAAGTACGGAAGCCGAGGAGACTTGTGACGGTGAAGTTTACCGCTTGGGATAGACTGCGTAAAGGAAAGAGCAAGACGCCGCAAGCAGGCTCGATTCGAGCTACGCCTAAGCACCGTAGGCCCGATGATAAGTCTAGCGGTAAAAGTCCGCGTCCCTCTATTGGCCCAGCCTCACCTGCGCCTAGGATCTCGGATTCTGCTCAGATCGGAGCATCTTCGACAGCCATGTCATCTTCTCAGAATCCGACCGCTACCCCTAATAGTTCCTTCAAATCCGCATCCCAATCATCTCAACTAGGCTCAAATAGCGAGAAAAAGCGAAAGCCCCTCCCGGAGATGCGCAAGCCGCTCCCGTCGGCGGCACCGACTAACGTTCCCACGCCGTCGTCGAAGCAGCCCTCATCCGTCCCGGCTGCGGCACCTAAAGGTCCCACGAAGCTGAAGATCAAGTTAAAGACCCCTACTTCAGGGTCTACTTAGGATATGAAACACGAGTAGAGCCACATCAACATTCTCTCTCCAGTACACGATCAGAAGTCACCACATTCCTCTACGCTTATGGTTCTTTTTTACGTGTTTTTTTCCCTTACTTCTTTTTTTTCCCTCCATCACGTTTTTGCATGGCAGGCATGGCATCGGCGTTGGGAGCCGGAACGAGAGGATATGACAACCCCAAGGCCGAAAAATGCCTTATCTCCCTTTTGTTTTTTTTTGTTCGAGCTTGCGTTGCGTTGTCAGGTTGAGTTTTTATTCCGCCACCGATCAGGTAATGGGACGGAACGAAGTTGGTTTGCCTTGAGCCACGGGGACAAGATGAGGAAATAGGTACGAGTTGCAAAGGGACATACGAACACTACATAAGCACAAACTACCAAAAAAAAGCCTGCTACGACTACGTTACGTCTACCCCCATGGCTACGACAACCCGCCACCTCACCTATTTACCTCCTAAAGGATGTTTACCGGTACCGTGCGATGGCGAAGGAAGGGGAGGAATATGGACGGGTCAAGTTGATAGGATGAGAGGGGACGGCTGGGCTTGGCTGTGCTGTAACGTGTGGATGTGTACGGATAAGGATAGTGAAATCACATAAAGTGCGTTGAACAAATGAGATTTAAACATAATTCTACGTAAGATGTGTGAATGTGATGCAATTTTCGGTATTCATCTCCGTAGTATGAGCTACATGGTAGATTTGCTAAACCATGTGCCACAAATGAATATCGACAACATAGCAAGTACAGCAGCATCAACGGCTGTCTAACCCAAATCCTTTTTTTTTATCTCCAAGCGCCAGATCTAGCCATCTACCCCTTCAGGTCCTATCCTTAATCAGAACCTAACCTCGTTTTCATCTATTGTAAATTAGATGGATAGAGGCCTACGTCTCTTCCTCTAATGCATCCATTTCAACTAGTTGTGCTATGCTGGAGGTGTCAGCAATCGGTTCAGAGTAAATGACCATACGGAACTTCCAGGATGTCTATGGATCCTCGATTAGAAGCATGCAAAACATCGAAAACTAGAAGAACGAAGAGGAAGAAAAACATAAATGCTGGACTTACCCATAAACCCGAAGCCTCCCGCGATCCTCTTCTTCGCCAACGAACCTCTCTCAAGCAGCACACCTCACCTCGCTGACCTTCCGCACCACATCAATCACCAAAGCTCACCTCGCATCTCATACCTCACATCCCGCAGTGATCATTTCCTAGTCTCCACCCCCGTTAGTTACCAGTCCTCCCCGTCCGCTCACATTAAATCACCCCCGCTAGGCAAAATGCAGCTATCCCTCAGGGATAACGCTTGACTGACAAGCGGGCTAGTGAAGTCGCTGAAAGCAGACGCGCACGCGCGGAAGAGCCATTGGCTATCGCGCGGAAATACGCGGATGCTGGGGTTCCGCGCGTGTGGTAGCTCGCTTGTGGGGACGGGCTAGGAGAGGGCTGGCGGAGGCTTCGCTGTACTTTGATTTGCGGAAAAGAGGGGAGACGGGGCAAGGGGCTTTTGGGTCCGGTGTGGTACATGTGGAAGGGAAAGGTAGAGAGAGGTGGCTGTTGATGAGTGGGCAAGTTATCGTAAGAGTGATGTAGTGATGGGCGTTGAGGATTTTGTGCTTGGGAGCTTCAGCTTGTGTTGACGCAATTTATGCGCATATACCTTCTTTCCAGTTTCCTCCGCTATAATCTAGTGACTATTAGCATATAATTTCTTATACCTGGGCCGAGTATGAGTCATAAAAGGCCGAGGCGTTGAGAGACAAACCATTCATCATCCCGTGTAGCGAGTACACCATGCATTTATTTCATCGTTGTTCCTCTTCAGCTATTCCAATTAATACTGCAATAGACAAGTATGAAGTAGAAAAGGGTTACTTACGAATTGTAGGGATGAGGACGTGAACGAGACCGGTTTCACCTCCTTCGGGGACCCCCAGCCGCTCCCGTAGCCGCCGACCCGGCAACGCCTATCCGCTCTTCTCGACTCCTCGTCATCATGCGTCCCGGTGCCGGTGCCGGCACGGCCGACGGCTCGGTACTTCCTTGCCGACTCGTGGCCGTCCTTGTCCTAGTGGCCCCGGCTGGTTGAGTAGCACCTGTGATTCGTTGCATCCTTGTTGGAGGGGCAGGCGCAGCCGCAGGAAGGTTTGTAGGATGTTGCTGCTGCTGCTGCTGCTGTTGTTGTTGTTGCTGACTCCTAGTCGCACGTACCTGTTGTATGTATGCGGCTCTCGCGGCGCCCGGAGACACTTCACGCGTTGCGAATTGGTCGCGGGCAGCACGCCGAGGTGCGGTTATGAAGGGGTCAGTGGTGTCAGCGTCGTCGACATCTACATCTTGCATGTCTTCATCATCACCTGCTGGCGGGGGAGACGGTGTGATAGATGGGGAAGTATCCATTGCTGTATGTTCTGGTTGCTGCGGGAACGGTGGATGAGAGGTAGCCCGTGAGTGAACCTGAGTTTGTGGTTGAGATTGGGCTTGTGAAGCGAAACGTCTATCTTCATAAGATGCCACGTCCTCAGCGGTGAGGGTAAGTGTTGTGGGGGGGCGGCGAAGCATTGTTTCTAATTGTGTGCGTGGTCCTTTTTATTATAATTGATAGTGGTAGACGATACCCGTTTGATGATGGTAGATTTAGGCTACTCGAAATGATAATACTCGAGAGTGATACTTGATAGCAATGAAGTGAGTGAAGATAGGCAATGTATGTTTGATATCGAGTAATGGAGATCTTGATTGAGTTGTGGTGCAAGATAATACAATGGAATAAAGGTGATAATAATTGGTAAATTGATGGAGATAGATGTTGATGTGGATGTGGATGTTGATGTTGAGGTTGAGGTTGTGATGGGAAACGCGTATGAACTTTTATAAAGCAAGGTACGTAAATATACTTTTTGATGCTATCAAGGGCAGTTGCGGGGTCGAGATTTAGCACTGTTAGTGGTGTAAGCAGGTGGGGTATCCAGGGTAACTTAGGCAGTTCAGCCCTATTATAGTGGGTACTTACCTGGTAGCTGGTAGACACGATGAGCTGGGCGAACTGTGCGGGTGGTCCATACACAGTACCTAGTAAGACGAAACTCATAAATGAAATAGACTTCAGAGGTGTTTGCTATGAACAATCATGATCGATGTCGGAATTTGTCAATAAACAGCACTGTGAATTTGTTGAGTAAAATTTTCGACTTGTAAAATAACGTTGGAGCTAGGCAAAGTCTGCAATGAATAGGTAATCACCTTAGGTAAGCCTTAAGTAAGCAATATAGGTAGGTAAACAATTTCATTTACCTACCTCTTATTTCCCACTTCGAAATCTTCATTCGTACTTTTGATGTTGACCTTTATAGCCTTATTTCTGAAATCGATGTCCTTTAAATTTACGCGATCTCTTTCTAAGGCCGCTGAACAATGGGAGAATAAGCTGCTTAGGTTGCTATTAAGTTAGGTACTTCGAAATCACGTTCTAGATTATGAGCCCCAGATCCGGGCGAAAACTTCAGTTTTGTGGACGATATACGCATCTACGACAGGAATTATGTCCATTTATCCATTTCTCGGATCGTTCGGGGGAGTCTTACGATCTAGCCAGTTTCCAAGCTGCCAACGGTCTTCGTCTCAAAGATCATCGCCTCCTCATTTAATACCGTTCTCTAGCCACTTCTACATACCAACAAACTGACGCGAGAGAACATGTTCATCTTTCGGGAACTGATAGAGACGTATGGTGTTAAGACAACATCATCGTCCCAAATAGCTTCGGGCTTATGCGGCCAACCTGACATTGGGGTCTTAGGACGTATAAACGGCGGAATACCGCCCCGTACTCTTTGTAGCTGCTCAGATACAAGATCCTGAAGCCGGTCTTGTAGCATTTATATCGTATCGAACAGGAAACTAGCTATTGGACAAAAGACCCGAATATCCCCCGTCCAACTACGAATAAGGAAATAGACTTGTCATCATCATACACCTCGAGTTGAAACAGCGCAGCTAGTTGATTGCCGTATAGAAATCAGGTACGTCCTCGAAATCCGAGCGTACCAGCATACCAGCCCTCCACAACCTTAATTGGAACGTTCGTTTCGTCGGGGTTTACCAAAGAAGATACGTTGTGAACCCAATAGTTGAGCAAATGTTTGTAACTAGTTCAGCCAGGGGTCATCTCCTCGTTACAAGTAGGTTTACCGCTTATATACGCCTGACAAAACTCCCATCGCAGTTAGATAAAGCCTTGCATGCTAATTCCCACCCAGCAGAGGGTACAAGCTAAGTCCTTGCCAGAATCGCAGCGGCTGCAATGGCTCATCTGGTCCAATTCTGGCAGATGAGGCGATGAGTGATGCTTTTTCAGTGAGATCAATCAAGAGACCCGGCTTCGACCTCACTTATTGGAGACCAGTCTGTCTGATATACCGAACCATCTGAGCATTTGCCATGACTGCGAACTCGGACTCTAGCACTTTCTCCTGACTTCAGTGGCCGTGCCGGCCATGGAACGAGCACTGATCCCTTTGAAAAGGACGTGAATTGTTCGACTTTTTGATCGGCTGACCATGTGATTTCGATGTCATATCTTTTCTGAGTCCATCCTGCTGGTGTATCGGAGGCTGCTTCGAACTGCCATGAAATTTGAGGTCGCGAATAGCCGAACCCGCTGTGATGGTATTCGAAAGTTGGAGCAGTTAGTCTAGGAGTAGACATGGTGATGCGGCATTCATATTAAATCTACCGGGCGTTTGGGTTAGGGGGGTCGTGCTGAAGAAATATTATATTTTCGGAACAGTGTATCAAGAAGCTACTCGTGAACATCGGGGATAGTTCCCTAGCTTACTTATTATCTGAATTGGGCATCTCGCTTCGGCTTGGTTTACCCCCGAGACTTGGGATCATCCCCTAGCTGCCAAGATGCCTAGATGCCCTAACAAATTCCTGGAGTGAGCATTGCAGAGATCCTGGAGAACATTACAGGTCTCATTACAACCTCTAGTTCGGCAATCTGTATTCCTGTAGCTAAAAAATTGTTTCTAGCTGAGCTCAATAACTACTTGATCGTTAGGGGATGAAGAGTTTATCTCTGGTCAGTGGTGTTCACATAACAATGCTGGGGACTTCAGACACTAGACACTTCTAGATTGATAACAGAAAGATTGAATCCATCAATGCGGTTTTGAGCCATCTTTTATTCGTTTCCTACGAAATACGACGGTGGTCGATAGCTATAACATCCACCATCTCGTCAAATGATTTATAGAAATACCTATATGCAGTTGATAGGTGGATAGTAGAATATTGGTCACATCTTTATTAGATTAAGCGAATAAATGGAAGAATAATTATTTACTCATACAGTGTACGGAGCCCGATAGCTGCATATATTTAAATGATTTGTGGTGAGGCGGCAAGAATTCAATATCATGCAATTAGCTAGCATGTGTTTTTTCAAATAACCGTTATAATCGCTGCCAAATAATTAGAATAGATCCACTAAATTTTTCCCATTCTCTTAAGACCAAAACTTATCCTCAATACCAACCAACTCCGGCACGAAAGTACAACGTATCTTGAAATAAACTCCGCTTCAATCCAGCCTATTACACATCGAACCCATAAGCATACCTATCTACATATATGCGATCAACGACTGCCCCTTAATGAACGCGCACGCCCTCCTAACCGCCCAAGGGTGGCGGGGCACCGGGCACTCGTTACATCCAACAAGCGACGACACAGGGCTGAAGCACCACTTGCTGATCAAGCGCAACGAAGAAGGGCGCGGGCTCGGAAGCAAGAAGGACCATAAACAAGAAGCATGGTGGCTAAACGCCTTCGACCAGGCCCTCAAGGGCATCGATACGAAGAGCGGGACCATGAAGCAGACGCTGCGCGGCGGCGCGCTCGAGAAGATCACAGCGAAGGGCGCTGGGAAGTATACCGGCACGAGAGGGCTTTACTCGTCGTTTGTGAAGGGGGGTATGATGGAGGGGACCGTCGGAGTGAGCTTGGTGACGGGCTTGCCCACGCCGCCGGAGAGTGGGGTGGGTACGCCGGTTGCGAGCAGCGCAAATGACGCGGACGAGGACGAGAAAGAGGGAGGAAAGGAGACGAAAGAGGAACGCAAGGCTAGAAGAGAGGCGAAGAGGTTGAGGAAGGTGGAGAAGCAGGCGAGGAAAGAGGCGGAGGAACGGGCTGCGAGGAAGGTCGAAAAGAAGAAGGCGAAGAAGGCCGAGCGGCAACGGGTTAAGGCGGGGGAGACTAAGGAGGAGCGGCGCGCGAGGAGGGACGCGAGGAGGAAAAGGAAAGAGGAGAAGAGGAGGTTGAAGGCAAAGTCCGGTGGATGAGAAGGCCTCGGCAGCTACGGATACGTTTACACAAGATCTATCTACCATCCTAGTCTTCCATGGAAGACTTTCGTGGAAAACGTCGTTGCCGAAGTCTTCAAACCCTACGAACTCCTCTGCGCTTCATAAGGCAGGGTGCGGTATATGGACTGAACAACAAAATGACGAGAAATCTAAGTGGAAGGCTATATAGGCTGGAGTTTACTTGGGTCGCTGTTCACCACAGGGAATGAGCAGTTCGCTCATTCTAGTTCGTGCTCCTCAACGGCATCGGGTGTTCCAAAATACCTATGGTATTCGAACAAGACTACTATATATATGATTACAATAGAAGCGAGCGATACCATGACAATGGCGATAATCTTAGAGGTGTTTTGGTCGTCGTCTCCTCCATCCCGTCTTGGAAGATGCATGCTTTCTATCGTCTCGCAGTCAAACCGTACGAATAAAGGTCGGTATAAGAAGATGACGAGCGGGTGTGATAAATTCTTTTACGTCTCTTTGGGGATCGTCCCGGGTTTGTTGGACAGCAGCCAAGGTCGTCTCTCCCAGAAGTCGTCTTTAATAATGTCTACATGATCCACCAACACTCTCGCCTTGGCTCGTCGCTTTCTATGGTTATCCTCCTGTGTCTTAGACTGTTGCACGGGCTCCCCAAGCTTGTCAACAGCGTCCGCCACGTCATGACTGCCTGGCTCAACGAGTTCGTACTATCTATCGTCAGTCTGTAGTCATGTCAAGTGCTTTCGAAGGCAGAACCAACATCTCGGTATACAACACTGCCCTTCTTAAAAATCTCTGGCTCGTTGTTATAGTTGATATTGAACCTCGAGAATAATATTTCATTCTTATCGGCAGCGAGGGTCCCCTGGATGCTAATCAGCCTAACCTTCCCGCGAAGGAAAGACAGCTTACCGATAACAGTTTCTCTGCATCCTTCGCATTGACGCCCCCTATTTGGACAAGCGACCAAAATGTGGTGTTGTATAGATTATTGATGTGGCCTTCTGGTTTGTTAGTATCTGCAAGTTGGTAGACTTCGTACGTATGGAAACTCACAGTCTACCTGGCGCCAACTCATGTAGTCGCGTAGGTTCTGTACATTGGGGTAGCATACTGCTCGGCCATCAAAGCTAGGGAGAGGAGGAGACAACGGCGTGTCTGGGAAATAGGATGACCATAGGTGGATATAATAGGCTGTAAATGTTGAGACTATGGTCGAAATTATCTTGCTGTATGTTTCGAATAAGTCATTGGATGTTCGGGTACTGCAACCTCTGAGAGACTCACCTGGATCTCCTTTCAAATAGGGTGCATGATTTGTGGAAAACGAAACTAACTAGTTTAGCAGCGGTTCCTTTTCCTATGATACGGATGGGAATAGAGCGTGTAGTATTACCTAAACTCATCACTGACGCCGTATGCGATAGTAATGTCATGAATCTCGCTTACGACGGCTTTGGCGGCAGCGTTCATCAAGTCAAGAGCTCTACGGTCATTGGGCTTTTCGAAGTTATACTTGGCGCACAATCTAGCTCACATAATAGATCAGAACGGAACTGAAAGATAAAGCTATCATATAGGGATATTACTTTGTGAAGCCTCTACCATCTATCCTAACCACGATCCAAGTATTGGGCAGTAAGTTGTCGACTTGCTCGAATTGTTTGACATATTCGAACCTGGACTTGAATTGTTAGGTATTTGTATTATGTTGAGAGATTGGTCTGAAGAACATAGCCTGCCTTGAATTCGCCATGGCATCGGTTTATTTGTAGATAGCTACTTTTAAGCGATATGATCTAGCATTTGGTTATTGTTGAAAATTGCGACTTTCAGTTAACAACCCGACGAATTATATAAAATAACAAGTACCTATGTAACTTCAGCAAGTACCTCTACCTGTAACCTAGACCTGCGGCGGCTTGACTTTATAGTGGAGAACTAGCGGGGATCCCCTGCGTAGATCCCTGCAAAAATATCTATTCCACTGCAAGGCTACCAAGGACCTGCCGCCTATTCAACGGGAAGCAGCATTTGGTAACAATCCAATTGATTCACTTGCAAACGATCAACACATCGCAAATACAATTACTTCTCCCATCGAGCCGCAGAACATGACTGCGCCAACATGAATCTGCTGCTTTCCGACGACTACCTACTCCAGGACTATCCTGAGAATATCACCAACACAATTCGATCAGGCCATACAACATGCTTACGATTCAATCGAAAAGGCGACTATCTAGCTTCGGGTCGCGTCGATGGCACCGTGGTGGTTTGGGATTTGGAGACGATGGGCGTAGCGAGGAAGTTGAGAGGTCATAGAGCGGCTATAACTTCGCTTAGTTGGTCTAGATGTGGTCGTTATCTGCTCTCCGCCTGCCAAGGATGGAGAGCAGTTCTATGGGATTTGCAAGATGGGACCAGGTTTCGAGAAGTGCGATTCCGTGCGCCCATTTACACGGCAGATTTACACCCCTGGAACCAGTGAGTAGAAAAGCCCAGCAATTGTGATGCTATTTTCATGATCGCTAATCGCAACGCCAACATAGCCAAATGTTTGTGGCATCCATATTCGACGAACCCCCATCGCTAGTTGACATGAGCGGCCCGAGCGACGTCAAACACACACTCCCTTCCGCGCCGAAACGTACCAATACCGACGCTGATGCTGCGACTAAAGAGAAGCAAGCGAAAGAAGATGCAAAACAGATGACTACGGCGACGGTATGGACAGCTACTGGAGATCATATCCTGGCGGGTACAAATAAGGGCCGTTTCAACATCATAGACGCAAATACCCGCGAAATCATATGGTCGGAGAAGATATGTAGTTCTGTGGTAACTACGCTACGCTTAACAGGATCCGGACGTGAATTGCTGGTAAACTCTCAGGATCGTATCATCAGGACCTTTCATCTACCGAACCTCGCAGCAGAGGACCTCGATCCCGATACAATACAGATGCCACTCGAGCACAAATTCCAGGATGTCGTCAACAGACTCTCCTGGAACCACGTCACGTTCAGCGCCACTGGAGAATACGTAGCAGCGTCTACATACAACAATCATGAGTTATATATATGGGAACGAAACCATGGCAGTCTGGTCCGAATGCTAGAAGGTCCTAAGGAAGAGCAGGGAGTCATCGAGTGGCATCCTCACAGAGCTGTACTAGCCGCCTGCGGGCTCGAAACTGGTCGTATCTACATTTGGTCTGTGACCACGCCGCAGCGCTGGTCGGCATTGGCACCGGACTTCGTCGAGGTGGAGGAGAATGTCGAGTACATCGAGAAGGAAGACGAATTCGATATTCACCCCCAAGAGGAGATCAACAAACGCAGACTAGACCAAGAGGATGAGGATATTGACGTATTGACTCTCGACCCAAGTAAAGGGTACGATGAGGATATCGACGGCGCGGGATTTCGGATGCCAGTTCTATTTAATCTGGGCGAGAGTGATAGTGAGGAGGAGTTCGTGGCAGTATCAACAGGTACCGTACGTCGTAGGAGCTTAGGCGAGGCCCAAGAGGGCGAGACTCCTGACGAAGAGAAAGTAGCTGGAGGTAAGAAGACGGCTGCTGCGAAGGGTACAAGAGGAAGGAAGAAGTAGAGTAGCAACGGTCTCTCAATACCAAAAGATATCCTTGATCGTAATAAAAATACGTCATGAAAATCTCCTCAATCATCACTATGGCTATAGCAATTCTATAGCAAATTTGACTGGCTGTATGCATGGTTACCTGCGTTTCTAACTGTTTCCATGCCTAAAAGAGTAGAGGGGAATAATAGGTTCATGCAAGTATGTATGTATAGTGGCTACTAGGTCCATTTGAATGGAATGTATTTAAGTACCTAGTACCTAATACATACCAGCCTTATATGCAATATGCTGATCCGCACAGCCCGCGGCATACAATAGCGCTTGCCAATTGACTCGTCGGCTGCTGGGTAGGTAGTCGATGTAACTAATATCCTACATACGAGGTAGGTAGGTTGCACTGGGAGTTGGCTCCGGCGTTGATTTTCGTGTGCGGGGAGGTACGTACCTTACTAAAATTTAATGTGCTTTGAATCAGCCGCATGGATAAACTTACTTCCGAAAAGCTCATTGTTCCCAAACCGGATTAGCGCGTTCTCGTGGCGGCCCTTCTGCCTCACTTCTAATCCTCCCGACTCTCCAAGAACACACTGCCATTCAAACCACAACAACTTTTTTCACCATTGATGGTTTATCACAACGCGTCCCGGTTTTCGCATCAGCTTCATTCCCGCGACTCTCCGGCATTGTGAATCGCATCAAGATAGTGATTTTCAATTATCGCGATTATTTTGTCGACCCGCGCGCGCACCTGGGGGATCAATTTTAATCACTTCCTTCGGGCCTTGGGCCTGGTTGGCAACCACCCTCCAGTGCCATTAAACGCGTCTACATCGACAACTAGTTCTATCATTCTTTGCGGTTCTATCTGTACATCATTGCTTTTTTCCTTCTTTTTATCGACCGACAATCCGATTTACGAATAACGAACCGATACACATACCGCGCTCATTTTTCCACCTTCAAGGACCTTTGTCCCCGACCGACCTTAATTACACTCCTTCACTTTGCGCATCGAATAAAATTCCTCCGCGCGATTATTTCTTCGCACTCATCATCCACTTCTCATTTCACATATTACGAATCCGCTTAGAATAATCAACCAACAATTTTGCCAAGATGGCGAACCTTTACTTCCAACATTCCGATGCGCCTCTCAAGACCATTCAGGAGATAGTCTTCAGCATTCAGTCTCCTAAGGAGATCAAGGACCAAAGTGTCGTTCAAGTTATTTTTCCTGAGACTATGGATGAGACTCGGACGAAGCCAAGAAAGCAGGGACTGAACGATCCTCTTCTTGGCTCGCTAGACCGCCAGTACAAGTGTGCAACTTGTTTGGAGGGTATGAATGAGTGCGTTGGTCATTGGGGACATACAGAGCTGGCTGTGCCCGTCTTTCATCCAGGATACTTGAAGAAAGTCAAGAAGATTCTGGAGACCGTCTGCCATTCCTGCAGTAAAATGCTAGACGACAGAGTCAGTCTTGCCTTTGTTTTCTGGTTAAACTGAATTTTCTTGGCGCTAACTGGTTTTAGAGCAATCCTGAATTCCAAGCCGCGGTGAACATGCGGGATCCCAAGAAGCGTTTCCAAGCTGTTTGGACCGTCTGTAAGAAGAAGAAGTGGTGCAGCAACGAAGTCCCAAAGGAAGATGAGGACAAGGAGTATGAGCCTGGTACTAAGCCTAAGGGGCAAGGCCACGGTGGATGTGGCAATATTCAACCTGCGATCCGCCAGACGGCTCTACAACTATGGAGCACGGTTAAAACCGTTTCTGAAGATGGCACCAAGGGAACCAACAAGGAGTTGATGAGCCCAGCCAAAGTCTTGGCTATTCTCAAGAGAATATCCATCGATGACATGCTCGACATGGGCTTAAACCCCGACTTCTCTCGACCCGAGCATATGATCCTCACGGTCCTGCCTATTCCGCCTCCTGCGGTTCGCCCTAGCATTTCCATGGACGGAACCGGTCAGGGTCTAAGAAACGAGGATGACTTGACATACAAGCTGAGTGATATCATTCGTGCCAACAGCAATGTGCGTGAAGCCATTCGAACAGCTGCGCCTAAGCATATCCAAGATGAATTTGAGCAACTGCTCCAATACCACGTTGCCACCATGATGGACAACGACATTGCCGGCCAGCCTCAGGCGCTTCAGAAAAGCGGTCGTCCCGTCAAATCCATTCGAGCCCGTCTAAAGGGAAAAGAAGGAAGATTGCGTGGTAATTTGATGGGAAAGCGTGTCGACTTTTCCGCTCGTACCGTTATCACAGGTGATGCCAACATCTCTCTTGACGAGGTTGGTGTGCCTAGGACCATAGCCAAGACTCTGACGTACCCGGAAACAGTCACTCCGTACAACATTTCTCGTCTCCACCAACTCGTTCAGAATGGACCTAACGAACACCCTGGTGCCAAGTATGTTATTCGACAGGACGGTACGAGAATTGATCTACGACATCACAAGCGGGCTGGTCAAATAAATCTTGAGTACGGTCAGAAGGTCGAACGACATCTTCAAGATGGTGATTACATCATTTTCAATCGTCAACCGTCACTTCACAAGGAATCCATGATGGGACATAGAGTCAAGGTGATGCCTTACTCCACCTTCCGACTGAATCTTTCGGTCACTTCGCCGTACAATGCCGATTTTGACGGTGACGAGATGAACCTTCACGTGCCTCAGACCGAGGAAACGCGAGCTGAAATTCGTGAGCTCTGCATGGTTCCGCTGAACATTGTTTCCCCCCAACGTAACGGACCGTTGATGGGTATTGTCCAAGACACCTTGGCTGGCGTGTACAAGATGTGCCGCCGTGACGTATTCCTGACCAGAGAGCAGGTCTACAACATTATGCTGTGGGTTCCTGATTGGGATGGCGTTATCCCCCTGCCTGCTATCGTTAAACCCCGACCTCGTTGGACTGGAAAGCAGATTGTGAGCATGATCATCCCGAAGGAGATCAGCCTCTACACCAAGGCAGGATTGAAGCGGCCTGTCAAGTTCGAAAACAACCAATGGAACCCTGCGGAAGACGAGGGCTTGCTTATCCAGTCTGGACAATTGCTCATAGGCCTTCTTACAAAGAAGAACGTTGGTGCCGCTAGTGGTGGTATCATCCATCTATGTTACAATGAGCTTGGCCCTGATGGCGCAATGGCCTTCCTGAATGGATGCCAGCGTGTTATTAACTACTGGCTTCTCCACAATGGCCACAGCATTGGTATTGGTGATACCATTCCAGACAAGGTTACCATTGCTAAGGTTCAGCATGAGATTGACCAGCAGAAGGCCGAGGTGGCGGAGCTAACGCTCCAGGCAACGGCAAATCAGTTGGAAGCTTTGCCAGGTATGAACGTCCGAGAAACCTTCGAGAGTAAGGTTTCCAAGGCTCTGAACTCCGCACGAGACAAGGCTGGAACAGTCACAGAAAACAGTCTTAAGGATATCAACAATGCAGTCGTCATGGCTCGCTCTGGTTCAAAGGGTTCATCCATCAACATCTCGCAGATGACCGCTCTTGTCGGCCAACAAATTGTTGAAGGCAAACGTATTCCTTTTGGTTTCAAGTATCGAACACTCCCTCATTTCACCAAGGACGATTACTCGCCGGAGGCCCGTGGGTTTGTCGAGAACTCTTACCTACGTGGTCTCACACCTTCAGAGTTCTTCTTCCACGCCATGGCTGGTCGTGAAGGTCTCATTGATACAGCCGTAAAGACGGCCGAGACTGGTTATATTCAACGTCGTCTAGTCAAGGCCCTTGAAGACGTCTGTGCGAGGTACGACGGAACGGTTCGTAACTCGCTTGGCGATATCATTCAGTTCGTCTACGGTGAGGATGGACTGGACGCTATGTATATCGAGAAACAGCCGATGGATCATTGGGTCTTGAAGGAGTCTGACTTCGAGGATCGTTACCGCCTAGACGTGATGGAAGGTGTCCGCACACCCGTACTGGACGCACTGGAATATGGCCAAGACCTTGTTGGCGATATGCATGTGCAAGAGCTTCTCGACATGGAATGGGAAGCCCTTTGCCGAGATCGTGAGTTCCTTCGGGAATTGAAGAAGAACTCTGAGAAGCTTGAGGACATGTTCCAACTTCCTCTCAACATTGGTCGGTTGATTGAATCTTCCAAGAAGCTTCTCAAGGTTGATGACACCAAACGAAGCGACCTCTCTCCTCAGGACGTCATTCCTACTGTAAGGGGTCTATTGGACCGATTGATCATGGTTCGCGGTACCGACGATGTCTCAGTAGAGGCTAACGATAATGCAACGAAGCTTTTCAAGGCCCTGCTACGTTCGCGTTTGGCTTTCAAGCGCCTTGCGGTCCAGCACAGGCTAAGCAAATTGGCCTTCCGACATATCATGGGTGAACTAGAGACTCGCTGGTCTAAGTCAATGGTAAGCCCTGGCGAAATGGTTGGTGTGTTAGCTGCGCAGTCGATTGGAGAGCCTGCAACGCAGATGACCCTTAACACATTCCATTTCACTGGTATCTCATCTAAGAACGTCACCCTTGGTGTTCCCCGTCTCAAGGAAATTCTCAACGTTGCCAGCAACATCAAGACGCCTTCGATGATGGTGTACTTGGATGGTTCTACCTCTCAGGAACACGCGAAGACACTTCGTAGTGTAGTCGAACACACTAACCTACGCTCCGTTACGGCGATGACCGAGATTTACTACGATCCCGAGATTGATTCGACCCAGATTCCGGAGGATGAGGACTTCGTAACGTCATACTTCCTGTTGCCCGATGATAGTATGCCGGACCAGGATAGACAATCGCGATGGCTGCTTCGATTTGTTCTGGACCGGCAAAAAATGCTGGATAAGGGTCTCACGGTTGAAGACGTTGCTATTCGTCTTCGAGAAGAGTATCCCAGTGATCTGGCCGTCATTTGCAGTGACAACAACGCGGATCAACAAGTGATTCGTATTCGCCCAATGCCAGAAGATAAGGACGATGCTGAGAAAACCATCGAGGACGACGTTATGCTCAAGCGGTTAGGCGAACATCTTCTGGAAAACCTTACTCTGCGAGGAATCAGAGGTATTGAGCGAGCTTTCCTGAACAAGGGAACCCGAATCGCCATCGACAAGCATGGCGCTATGATCCAGGCCAAGGATACTCCGTTATGCGAGGAATGGTACCTTGATACCCAGGGTACAGCTCTACGAGAAGTTCTTGCAATTCCTGGAGTAGATGCCAGACGCACGATTACGAATGACCTGTGGCAGACTGTTGATGTCTTCGGAATTGAAGCCGCACGACTTGCGCTTCTGAACGAGTTGAGACGAGTATTGGCTTTTGACGGTTCGTACGTCAATGAACGTCATCTTACTCTCCTAGTAGATGTCATGACATACCGAGGCAGCATTGCTGCAGTTACGCGTCATGGTATTAACAGAGCTGACACCGGTGCCCTGATGAGGTGTTCTTTCGAAGAAACGGTTGAAATCCTCCTAGAAGCTGCTGCCATGGGCGAGCTCGATGACTGCAGGGGTATATCCGAGAACGTCATGCTAGGTCAACTTGCCCCAATGGGTACTGGTCACTTAGACGTGTTCCTCGATCCTAAGATGCTCGAGACCGTCATCTCAGATAACTCTAGGATGGGCCTGATGCCTGGCATGACTGTTAAGGGAAGTCAGCTAGAAGGTGCGGCCACTCCATACGATACTGGATCTCCAATGGCAGACTCCGGTTATGGTATTTCCCTCGCGTCACCGTCGATGGGGGCTGGTAATTTCTCGCCGATTGTTGGAGCCGGCTCCGACTCGCCTTCTGGCTTCGGCACAGAGTATGGAGGATTCGGTAGTGCGAGCCCATACGGCGGACGAAGCCCTGGTGCTACCAGTCCATTCTCTGGCGGCGCGTCACCTTCGTCGCCTTTTAGCAGCTATGGTGGTGGGGGTTACTCACCAACTTCTCCTGGTGGCAGCTATTCGCCCACGTCACCGATGATGGGAACTCGATACGACAGTTCGCCGCGCTTCAGCCCGACTTCGCCATCTTTCTCCCCGAGTTCACCTCAGTTCAGAGGTGCAGGCGCAACCAGCCCCTCGTACAGTCCCACGTCACCGACTTATTCGCCCACGTCACCTTCGTCTCCAAGACATTACTCCCCAACATCTCCTAGCATGAACTCTCCCACGTCGCCCAACTATTCTCCCACAAGTCCTACCTATAGTCCGACATCGCCCAATAACCATCAGGGAGTCACATCGCCTATCTTCTCGCCCTCTTCTCCTAATTACTCCCCAACTTCTCCTATGAGCTACTCGCCTACGAGTCCACACTTCCACGGAAGGGCACAGCAGTCGCCAACGAGTCCTTTGTACTCGCCTACGGTTCGTACCAATTATCAATCACTATGAGACGCAGTTCTTGCTAACAATTTACGTAGTCTCCCACGTATTCTCCGAAGGATCCTGGCGCTGGCAGTAGTACTAGCCCGAAGTTGTACGTATTAACATTCAGTATATGAATTAATGAAGGAAAACTAACCGAGTACTCTAGTTCTCCTACCTCCCCCAAGAACGATTAGTTCTGTCTTGCATACTATACATCTGGCGTCATGCGTATTCTTCACATCCGCATTTAGGAGTTCTCGTTTACCTCTTTTTCTAACTTCCCGTTTTTACTTGACCTCTACAAGAGGCATAATGCATTATCAAGGAAAGGGACATTCACCTTGGCATCAACACAAGACTAGACAGAAAAGCAACAAATCCCGAAAAGTTCTAGGCGAAAGGACAATGGTTTTTTTTATCTAATTCTCTTCTCTGGTTTACGCTGTACACTACTATCAGAGGCAGGATTGATTTATTACGGGACTTCCTTTTTTGTTTGATTTACTCTCCCCCTAAACGCGAACGAAGGGCGGCAGATTGACATTCCGCCATAAGCAAATTTTTTCTTGGTCGTCTAGGGAGGAATTGGTGAAGACGATGACGAGACGAGAACTTACGAAGTGGGTTGAGTCATTGTGGTTCGGACGGGCAGACAGGGGCCAGCAGGCTACACTACAGATAGCGAAAATGCAAGGCCTATATTTCCGAAACGAAGGTTTGTTCATTTATAATGATACCCTCGTGCTAGTGCTATGTGGGCGTAGTTTGCGTAGTTTCGGCTTTGCCTCTACATAATGTAAAGATTTTGTATTTTCGGGGCGTTAATTAAGGCGGAAAAGTAAAATAGTAATGGTAGTTAAAATGCCCAGTACGGTAGTAATAAAAGGATTTATTTTTGCCCTTATTTCGATGGCAGACTCTGGTTTGATGTTTGGTGGTATTAAGATTACTCGGGTCCTATTCCGCCTCCTGCACATGTATCATGTATCATGTAAGTAATGCTTGCACATATCTCACACGGCGACTTTTTCTTTTGAAAGCGCGTAATTACGATCCTAACTTACCTACGTATCTCCAGAAGATTTCGGAGCTCTGCCGCCCACGTACATCGCACTTGATTACTTCGCTCACTACCTGACTACCTACTACCTACCTAACCTCTTACCTAGGTACAGTGCCGAACGTCGTATTCTGAGGTTGGAGCGCGCTTGTTTCAAAGTAGTCCTGGCTCTGTCCCGCCGCGCCGTAATTCTAACTACCTACTGGGTAGAAAAGCTGTAAGACTCCTCCCCCACCCACGGCTAGTTCAGGTCAGAGCTTATTAATCCTGGTCTTTTCTTTCTTTTTTCTATACTTCGTGTCTCTCGCCTAGTTTTCAGCTGCGGAGATTAGCGCAGTGGGGATTCTTGTTTCTCTCTATGTTCTCATTTATGGCCCAGCCCGGCCTTGAGATTGGGCCAGGTCCGGTTTAGACAGAAAAGGTGGCCGAAAAGACCGGAAACTTTTCCGTTTCTGCATGGTGAGCAGAGCTCGCGCGTGTTTCAAGATTTTTTTTATTTATTTTTTTTCGGTACCCGGTTCAGGGCTCGGAGGGTGGATGGCCGGAAAGGCATGTATGTCATATTAAGTACCTACCTAGCTGAGATATGGTTGGCGCATATGTAGGGTAGGAAGGTAAGATGTGGGTGGCGGCCGGCGCCTACAGGTCTTCACCTGCCCTGGATATGTATACGCAGCTTACTTACATATAAGTACATCGACCACATGGCGTACCACGTGAGCGTGGGATTTCACCGCTGCTGTACGACAACAACCTTGTTTAAGAAAGAAACGAGATGCCATTGCATTTCCGGTTGTCACATGGCAGATCGCCTGCTGCTTTCGGGGCTGGGGTTAAGATCCCTTTTCTGGCCCCCAAATCGTGATGGATCGTCCGCGGGCCAAAAAGCTTGCTGGGCGTTTCCTAACGTAAGATCCGCTGAGACTCATACGGATTAGCCCGGAGATTTTGGGATCTGGGGTCGTAAGGCTGGATGGTGTGGTTGGGATTCAGATCCCTCGACGGTAGTTGCGATAGCCCTACGTGATGATGCTTGTCAGTAGCTTGAGAAGCGAGGCTCGTGGTGCAACGCCATCTACATTCGTATTAACATGTATGTATACCTACTACTACTGCGTATGCATGTATGCAGTTCCCAACAGCCAGAATCTAACAAACGGGTCGATCTAGCCGCAGTATAATTATAGAATCCCGTAATTGGGTCGACCATTCCGTTAGCGGAGTCAGCTAATAGATCAAGTTTCGACTAGAAACAGAGCTTTTTGGTACCTACGTGTGCATGCTGGATTTGAGAGCTACTTTTCTTAGTAGACTTGTCGGCGGAAGGCCCGCTATGTGGTTAAGCTCCTCCCCTCTGCTTACATGTCGGAAATATCGTGGGGGCGGATTTACTGTTATAGGCGCGATGTCGCGTCTAGCAAAATGCGCACTAGAAGTTAAGTCAGTTTTCATCTCGTTTCATGATAAATGTACGCCGGACCTACATATGTCGTTGATCTGGATCTGGGGTCGTCGCTCTAAATTTCTCCTTCCTATATTGTGTCATGTAATTTAATATGTGCGCTGTGTTCCACGAGACGCAGGATTGATCGGCGGCGTAGCAGTAGTAAGGCACGTGTGGAAGGATTTAACCTGCAAGAGCTATGATAGGCTTCTGGGGTGCCTATACACATGGTCACGCTGGAATGCACGTCAGCTAGAGTATATCGTTGGTGACGAGGATATGAAGATCGTGGAACTAATTCTTTTCATGAATCCTTCAAACGATGTTTATATTGATGTATCCTTTCCCAGAGTATCGTGTAGATTGATATTTCCCAGAGGACACTTCAAATCCTCTATTTCCGCGATTGCCGCTCAATCGGCTTGGAGATACATAGAGACTAGGACTCTATCGTCAGTAATAACGACTGTATGTGGCGTTGAGGGTTTTAACTTTCTTCTATGCAGTAAGATCCTGCACCTAAATCTTTGATAAACTCGATATGGAAGTTAGATGCCTGCATATAAGCTGTAGCTGCGGCTGAGAGGAAGGATTGCATTGATCTTCGGAGATCCTTCTTCGTTTTCGAGATCTGCAGCCGTAGCTTATGTCTAGTTCAACAAGACCAGAAGGAAACATACTGGTATATTAGCTCGGGCTACAGATTTTCTAAAGGATTGTTAGATGCTTATCCGAATGAAGAATCTCTCACATAGGTTCACTTACAATAGGCGACCCAGATAAGGAATATTCTTCATGTCGAAATCCTTACATGGGTGTCCCGGCCGACTAATACGCGCTCAGATTATCATGCCTTGTATTGGAATAGGTTCAGATGTAGACGGGAATTGGTGAATGAGGTTGGTTCGACATATACCATGCAGTTAACCATGAATCCGTGAGACCGCCAGTACTCTCGCTAGACTATCTATTATGTTTCGCTAGAGGAATAACTAAACAAAGCAGTTAAAAGAATAAATACTGCCATCTGTTACTAGGCCCAGCAACTGAATATACGCTTATTCTGCTAAAGATTATGGGCGCGAGTTTTGGTAACTTGCCCACAAGTAGTTTCGTGTATTTTGGCCGTCGCATGGAGCTTGGTAAGGGGTACGACGAAAACGTGAGAGCAGATCTGACAATTCAAACAATGTAGCTTCCTGGGGGTTGCCTTCCCAATAATGCAGGGTACCTAATTGAGATAATGACAAGGAGAATTGTGAATGTTTCCTTCGGAAACACGCCATGCTCAAATTGGTTGACAACGAGAGCATGCCTAGCTGTGAGGATTAAGCCAGCCAAGCTAGATATTCCTGCAGGATAACGTGTATGGTTTGGAAGCTCTGTGCTGTCTAAGTGTCACGCGAATGAATTATCCCCGGTTAACAATAACGGCTTGAAAAGATAGGAAAGTTTTTGGACATTGAGTCACCTTGACGCTTAATGGTCAAGTTCGACAGGAATTCTAAAGCTCGCCAAGAAGGCTTAACCATGAAAGGTGATGGCATACGAGGTTTGTCAAAAGCACCTCGTCGTCCAACGATTTTAAGGAGGCGAACGTAGGCAATGTAACTTCGGAAGCGATGACGGCATAAGAACAAATATCTAGCGGCTGCTGTAAGACCTCAGACGAGAGATCCTGCCTTATTCGATACTATGCCGAGTCGAGCGACGGCGCGGTGTTAATATGCAGTTGTGTTTCAACACAACACCATAGCTAGATTATGCGGCAGGGTACCATGCTGGTACCTAAGCCAAGAGATGTCAAGGCGGCCGGAAACAAATGACGGGATCATTTGCAAGACGGATGTCTCATGATAATTTGGTTACCTAGCTGTTGAAGAATGCCGCGCCGTGTAGTTGACTCATCCGGTGACTTGAAGTAATATGGTGATATAGTGGTAGGGCGAACAATTAGGTTGACAGGTGCTGATCATTGATGAAATCGTTATCGTCGCCAGGTGATCGTTGGACCGTTAGTTAACATCCGCAAGTCTAAGCCCGCTCTAGATTAGGTAGCCAATGAGGTTGAGGATTGCGCTTCGCGCGATTGTGGAACGTGCATGCTTCCAAGGTTCGTTCTGCTTCCCTGACCCCTGCCCCTGCCCAGATGCACGAGAGAAAAAGAACTTCTCCGGGTGCCTGGGTGCAACATTGGAACCCTAAATCTAAACTGGAAAGCCTAGCTTTCGGTTGGACGCCCTACAGCTTTTGATACAAGGCTGACAGGGCGAGGTCGATGAGCTTAGATTATAGGGGAAGCCTAATGCGACTTCACGTAGCGCAGTCGACCAATCCGCAACTCTAGCTGCTCTTCGTCCGTAGTTCCTATAAAATTAATGCGCAGATTAATATGACCTAGGGGTTTAGGGGCTTTGGACACGTCAGTTACTATCTATATGTCAGAATTTAGTCTTAGCCCATAGTCCTGAAAGATAGGTCAAGTTGATGTTGGTAGGCTAACAAGGTAACTCACATCCCTCATGTTCTTCTAGTTGGAACTACCCTGAATGCCTTAAGATTATTCCAAGCTCCTTAACCGCCTTGGATAATCTCATTGGTGACTGAGACGCCCTAGCCGCCGGACACGTTTTGACTCCCTAGGTACTAAAGCTACAAGGTTAGTGCACGAGGCGATGATGAATGCAGGGGTAATGACAGCTCTTTTCCCATCGGGAATCGGGATAGATTACCAGGTTTAACGGGAAGGAATCCGCTCTAGCCGATCTATGACGGGAGCACTGTTGGTAATAACGGAATGGTGAAGGTATTCATTACCTACCTTCGTTGAAAAGGGTCCCTGGGCCGGAGTAGAGGTATAGGATCAGTAGCATCTCTCCGTCGTTCAAGTAAATTGTACCCTTTGCTTAACTTACGCAGCATTGTTTCTAAGGCTACTATTTTTGACAGCCCCCGATGTTAGTAGTTCAGGGAGAGCGATTGTCTTTTAAGCTACACCAGAGACTTTCGTGTAAGCCGTGTGCTCACGAAGGAAAACCGAAAGATGAAACCACTATTACTTGTCAGCTATTAATTTGCCCACTTACCTCAGCTAGACTAAGCGGATAGGCCATTTAGATCGTTAATTGTTGGTCTGACATTTCACGTTATTCGGTGAGTACATCGCGCCAATTGCGCTCATAGACGCAGCGTTCCATGATAGTCCCAATCTTGGGCTCAAAAACAGTTGAATAGGTAGCAACGCTAGGTTGCATAAGAGGCACCAGCAAGGGCTTATCAGGGTAACACCACGTTGGAAACGGAATGGGAGAGGATACGTCAGTATACCCAGGTAGGATAGAGAAAAGACAGAAGAGGAAAAGGCCAAGGGGAGACAGGTGTAGGTTGCCTCGGGAAGGAAACTAAAAAGCTCGTAAAATGCTGTGTAATCCGAGGTTGTATGCCGATAGAACACGATAAATGTTATATCGTATCTGCCGGGACCGGGCCGCACAACGGGCCAACGCGCATTTGACGATGGCGCGGCTTAGAGCGAGTAAAGAGCCAGTGTTGACCATGAGCCCTCCCCGGCTCCACCGACTACAACCCGATTTGGAAAGGTTGACAAGTTAGTAGAGCAGAGTTGTGGTGAATTAAGATGGCAACGCGATGGCGAAGGGCATCAAATTAGGCGGCCGTCGGCCCGAAGTATATGCTCGATGGCGAAGTTATGTTGCTAAGCGCGACGTCCATAGGGTCGGCGCCGGCGTAGGATTGCTATTGGTTCAGGAACCGCGGTGAGCGAGGGCCATGCTGAATACGTGGTTATGAAATCCGAATGCGGATAACGAGCCTGGCCGAATTGGTGACCTGGAGTCCTTCTTTGCCAGGGGCGAAAACGCATGTCCGATGGGTGGATGTGGATGTGTGGGGGATGCAAGTCAATCCCAAGGAAACAGAGATGAGAAGTGGGAGAAATGAGATCTGACGGACGGACCAGCCGACCGACCCCTTAATTCTATTTACATATCCCTCTAAACGTGTCGAACAACCCTACGTATACATAAGTGCATAATGTTTCAAATCTTTTCCTTTTACAGCAATATATATAGAGTTAGAGTTATAGACGTACTTGAATTGCTCAAGTACATATTTATATATGAAGGTACGAAGTAGTTTTGGCGGCTCCAAATAGGTGAGAAATGGTACCACCTTCTTATATGTAGTTACCTTAGTACATACATAGTGTATCCATGTAACTGCCGATTATGAGGTTTATACTAGGTAGGTACCTAGCCACCACCTAGCAGGGACGCAAGGGATAGCTACCGAGCATCCATCATACAAACTAACTACCTGATCTGGGTTAGGTGATTGATTGACGCCCAACGAAGAAGTAGCGACCACTCTCAATGGCTATCCATTAATCGTCTTGTTTTTTTTTTATTACTCCTATCCCCTCGCACCTCAATAATCACATGATACAAGACGGCTGCGAGTAGGTACTCGTTATCTGCAATTCAATCCAAGAAACAAAGTAGGATTTGTTCCAATGCGGCGCAATTCTTCGCGACGTCAGCTCTTATCATAGGATGTACTTGTTTCGAGGTGATCCGTTTCGCGTTGGCCGCCAACGACATTTTTGTTAGTTCCATGGCCTCATGGTCCCGCGCATTGCGACCCAACTAGCATAGCAAGGCTTCTCTTATTCTTTGGACGGAATGATACGTCCTCTGCCTTGCATTGATTACCTGTGCCTTCGGGTAGATGCTTCTGACCGCGGAAGTGGCCGCTAAACCTCCTTTCCGTATGCTACCGTATGCCAGGTTGAGTTGTGCCACGTATTACCGCGACTTGATCCAATGTCGTTAGCCGTTTTTGCCATGCCATTCGACGCGAATTTCGGTGTACACTTGCTAAAAAGCTTCATGATGGAATGGAAAATAGTAATGCAATTGAAAGAAGATCAAGGGCTGTCTGAATCTATCCCACCACTAAACACACCATCGTCTTCCAGATCCCCTCCAGATCCCCGCAAGAACCCGCCTTCTCCTGGTCCCTGTATCGTGGGTTCCGAATCGAATTGTTTCCGAATAAACAGAGAGTGTGTGCCCAGTACCGGCCAATCCTGACTCCAGGCCAGGCTTTTGAACTTGAAATGACATAAAGAAATTGAGGTATCGATGCGATTGCTCGCAAAACGCTCTTCCATCCTACACCCATGCTCGCCCACTAATCGTATATTTTACCATGCTTGTATCAACCCCCTATCGAATATGTGTCTAAATAGAAATACAAGTTAGCAAAGCGTGAACGGGAGTAGTCAAATTCGGAGAGAGAGAGAGAGAGCTCTATCGCTTGCCTTCGGTTAGGCGCATTTATCACATGGGCCCGGGTAGTCCTCGGACTTGATCTCAGCTCCTCCAGCACATGTTCCAAATGTGTTCGGCGATTCAGCACAAGGTGCTTCTTGAATCTCCTTGCAGCCGCATGAGTACGTGATGTGGTAAACCTTGCACATTTTGAATAGTTTTGGTGGTGGATAATGATCGAGGCTTCGTTTTGAAGATATGAATCTACGATATTCGGTGTTAGCATATTTTTCGTTCTGGTTCATGTGGTACGAACGAACCGGTATTCTCGATCGTTGATGGAACGGCTTGAGTAATTGCGATGAGGTAGTTGATAGAAGTTATGACTATGAGTCGATTTAAGAAGGTCGAGGCAGATGTAGTTGAAGTGTGTGATGGTGATGATGAGAAATAAGTTTGGATATCGTAGTGGGCGGAAGGTGTAATTTATAGACGTAGAGCGGGTTCGTGAACTACCTTTGATAGATGAGTAAACGGCTATATCTGTGAGGTGCCTTGTTTGTTACGAGAGCCTGCCACACTGAACGTAAGCGGCTTTTGGCGCAGTAGATCAGTTGGTAAACTGCCTCGAAGTCTCGCCGCAACAGTGAATAGAAAGATGACCCTGTTGGGGGAAGATGACTTCTTGGACTAGAGTAACAGGTGGGTGTGTATAGATGGGTGGTCGTCATCAGACCACTATGGAAGGCACCATCCTATTTCCAACACGTAGTATCTAGAGGGCTGAAAGAGAAAAGGGGAAAAGTGTACTATGAGCTGCGGTTGGACGCCTAGATATGCGGCCGTCGACACGCGTGGGAGCCGTTTATGCGTCCGAATCGGTGGGGAACTTGGAGTCGACCTTCGAACGAACCATTAGACGTACACATGAACGTCATCTAGGGTGTAAAGAAGTACTATAGTACTAAACCTGCCTGGCCACTCTATCTTACTTCACCCACGCAGCCCCAGGCCCACCCGTATTATGGTCTGGCTACCCGTAGACAGGCACAGGCAGGGGTCTTGCAGCGTCCCGATCTAGAAAGGCAAAGTAGGAAACCGGTGGGGATAATTATAAAATAAGTTGAATCGAACTTGAACCAGTGGGTGGGTGTTGGTATCCAGATGCAAGGTAGTCTGAAAGGTTTTCGATCCCATCTACCTGGCCAATCCGAGCAGGCAATTGGAACAACTTCTGTCTCCCGCAAAGCACCTAGCAAGGCACGTAGATAATCCCTGGTCTCTTGCGTTTGCTAGGTTGTTCCTCTTACTGCAACCGTTGGCTGGCTTGATTTCATCATTATACTTAGTTATTATCATGTGCTACCATAGGTATCGCCGCTAAGTATTGGGCAATCGTGAGTACCTCCAACAATAGCTTTTTCTCCTCTGCCTAGGACCTAAGGATTCCCGTAGAACCCTTCACGAGTTGCAAAGGTCATCGAGGCTTGTTCGAATGTTAGTTCTGCCAAGGGACGCCACACGAGTAGAAGTAGATGTTTGCACCAATTATTATTCGGACCCGGCGCTTTATTTGGGGTGAAGAATTACGTACTTAATGGTACACCCTTTTCCGCTTTGCTTGCCTACTATGCTAAACTCCAAGGGTTAAGTGGGCGGGAGCTCCAGATACGGAGTGTAGATTGGTCCATCCGAGGCGAACAGGGTTGAACCGAAAAAAAAGGAAGGAATTAAAAGAAAATAAACCCGAAAAATAAAATAAAACAAAAATGTTTGAGCGGATGTACTTCCATGGAAATCCTTCCCGTTGGGACCAACTGCATACCTGGCGGACCTGTAGGTACGAAGCAGCAGGTATGCGGCAGGTGTCAATACGTTAATACCCCTGGCATACCTACCTCATGGAACTACTACGTACCTGGAGGTAATCCATGGCCCATGAAATACCACCGGTCACGTCGGTGTGGCTATAACAGCTATAGTTAACAATCCCGGAAACCGACAACACACTTAGAAAAAAATAGCGAAATTGATCAATTGAGGTGAGATGGAAAAGAATAAGTGGAATTGTACTGGGGGCAAGGGGTTTTTGGGTTTGACTATTAAGAAGTACGTACTCTATGGTAGTACAAGTATCCACCTGTCTTCTAATTGGTAGGACAAGATACATAGTTACAAGCCATGTAATTCGCGTGCAACCTTAAATCTTACCCACAAACGACTGGATTTCTCTTTCTCTAAGCTCCAGTCTCCAGTCTCCAACATTCATCCATCCAGATACAAAATACATCATGCGCATCACAACTTTAGATGATACAAACAATTGGGTTCCCACGCCTTGTCCCACGCGAAAAGGTAGATTGCATGAAAGCCCGGGAGATAAAAGAGAAAGAGAGAAAAAACTACCCGATGGGTAACACGGTTTTGGGTACAGATGATACCCGGTACTTTTCTCTCTTGCTCCATCCAACGAGGCCTTCGTCCGCGCCTCGCGTCTCGCGTCCTGCGTCCGGCAGCACATCGTTCATGCAAAGAACATTCCCTCACCCAAGTTTCCATAAGACTATGGATCGGGAATCGGGAATCGGGGTCTAAAAACGAGTGATTCCAGAAAAATTCTCAAGGCCGCTGCCAGATGGCCACTCCTTGTGCTATGTCCATGGTCTCATCACCCCTACCTACCTACCTACCAGCCTATAAGTAGGTAGGTAGGTACCGATCGATGTACTTGATACAGCAGTCAACGCTGGCTATGAAGTTACTTGCTTTCGTCTCAGGAAACTAGCGATATCTCCCCCAACGTATTTTACACACATACGTATAGATACACTACTGCAGGGCATATTTAACTAGCCGAATGGAACGGGCCGGTTGCCGTCTCTTTCATCTGCTAGGATGTTATATTGCCTACCTATACCTATGGAACGAGCAACCAGACCCTAAATTCTCGCTTCCAACATGGCCATGTTCTATAGAGTAAGTATGCATCGAGGGAGAAGCAATGCCGTCGAAAAGATGGTACATGATCACGAATATCTCTGACCAGATGCAGAACAGCCCTGCATAAAGCAAGGGACGACATGCTTGAACGGGAATCTACGGCATGTACAATCGTTTTTAGCTCAACATCACTTGACAGCTTTCACTGGTCAACCACGAAGTCTTGCCTATTTCAACCTAAGATACCCAGCTAATGAGTGGGTGGTGTCCGTTGACACCCGAGTGATCATCGGACGCCGATCTCAGTCTAACTATATCTACCTAGCACTTTGATATGAACTAACCGTTCTAACTCCCTAGTTAACACAAGGTCACATTTAAACGCCATTTGCAATAGAATTGTCCACCTACCTCTCCGGATCACTGTGGACCTCCAGTAGACAAGTCCACGGGTTCATCCAGCCGCGGATAAGGAAGCAGAGATCGAGGTACATCCAACCTCTTACGCGTCAATCGGCATGTAACACTGCGAAGAAGCCGGCCAGTGAGTCAGGTAACTCGAATTTTACCTGTGGATGATCCCCATATTTTAGAAAGGGTCGGAAAGGGGCAAAAAAAAAGTAGTATATTCCTCCAACCAACATCTATTAGAACAGCCTTACGGCCCGCATCCCATGCGGCCGTCCCTCCTTGAGTGTAAATGTGTGTGTATACCTCGCCGCACTGCGGCCCCAAAAGCGACCCATATTCAACCAACTGGCTTGGTAGGCCACCTCTCCAATGACAAGATCGTTTTTACCACCTACGGAGGTCTTATATCAAGCGATCCTTTAATCTCTAGAAGCCCCCCTATGCTTACCGAAGTTCTGGTCGAAGACCTATCCTGCAACCATGAGGCTGATTCCTCTTTAACAGCTGAATCTTCGAGCGAGGCCTTCGGACTCAGTTGCTAAAGAAGGGATCCTCAATGTATTACTGGCTCTCAAACTCCTCACAGGTTTCGGTACAGACATACTCGCAAATACCATCTTGACATCTACTTAAAAGTACACAGGTGAGCTCATTTCGGGACCGACAACTAAGTTCGGTCTCCGCTTGACCGACTGAGATCAAGGTGACCAATGTCTTCCTTTTGAGGAAGCCGGACTTGCCTATACGATCACCGGCATAGCTAACCGCCAAGTGTAACTCGTTGTCTCTCTAGCCCCTGAAATTTCGTACGGAACTGGGTGTGGAAGCTTCCTCTAGTCCTGTCACATTCTCTTCTCGCAGATACCGCTTCCTCACGGCTCAAATCTCCGCGGGGTCACAGAGGTTGGAGGCAGCATTGGAACTCTTAGCTCCTTAACTAGAATTTGCCACTAAAGGAATCCCGGCAAAGTTTTCTTCCATGTCAACGAAAATAATAATGGTTGAGTCGCTAAAGTCGCTTAGGTAGTGTACATACACATGCGCTTGGCGCGCCAGGGTCGAGCTAGCTAGAGCGGCACTCGGATGTTCCATCACAAACAGTCAATGCCCACGCAGTCCCCTTTCTTTTCGGATTTCTTAAGAGATTTCCATTTCAATTCGATTCAAAGCAACTTCTAAAAGCGACAAGTTCGCGGCGGTTGTGCGCGAAATCCAGCCAATCAATAGCTAGAATAAGCGCTTGCTCATTGCGTACCATTGCGTCGGGTCGCTTACTTTTATCGTCACCATTACTCGAAGTATGGAACCCATCTCCTAAGCCGTCGATCAAAAACTCAAATATGCAACTAGGTTTACAGTTCTATCCAATATTAGGATACAAGCGGTCTTCCGCGCTTGTTGGTGTGTTACCTCGGCGTAAGACGCCTAGTCCACCCTGAGAGACGGGACATGGGTGGAAACAATATGCGCAGTGGCCAACCAAACTCGACATTAACGAAGTAGCACAGAGGTTGTATGCGTATGTATGCTTAGGGAAGCTATTATGTATATAGAGTCATGGGTATGGGTCCAGTTCGTTCAACACCCACTCATGAAGCTAAGGGTTCAGAACAAGAATAGTCAAGGGCCCCCTATTCATATCAGCCACCAACAACTTTCACACGACCCTTCTTGGGGGCAACGAAGTTCCCTTCGTGTTGCTACCGATTTCGGCCCGAACCTTCTATGACTATCTGCTTCGGCCTATTAACTGATTCTCATGTGATGTCGACAGATGACTGGGAAGAGTCAGGCTCCAACTTGATATCTAAAAGAGGGTCGGAGGGACGGTTGACTACGGCAATACCTAACCAAGATATCATCAATCGCTTGTATCTTGTCTATATTGGTCTTAGTGTTGCGTTACGCAGTTGGTTCGCTCCTGGACTTGATGAACTCAACGGCTACGTGTTAGCTTCCCCGGCCTCGCTGCAGGGTATGGCACCACAATAGTCCGAACTAATGGTGGTAACATGTATTAGAGCCTTCCCTATTGAGTGTCGACTCATTCGTGGCTTTTCTGTGATCGCGGAACGGAAAGAAGCCCGAGTTTCCATGAAACGTTGAAGGACAGTGCCTAGCTAAGTAGAGCGAACGTAACTGTACGCATAATAGAGATGTAATAACTATGCATTTTGTCACTTGTCCCAACAGGTTGCTGCTTATGGCTCTTGGAAACTTGAAATAATCACACCTTCATCCTTCATATGCAACCACAAGCACTTAACTTAGCCAATGGACCGACGTCGCTGCCGTCTTCTCCGGACACCCCTATGTCCTCTCCATAGTACAATCCCACTCCCATAGGAACTAAGACGCGTGATAGCTCCAAGGCTCCGTTAGTCGGGTCTGAAGGATCTTGGGTAGGTAGTACAATCGAATTGATCTTTTTCTGGGAATTTCCGTCTACCTCGTCTCCATTTCCCCATGGTCCTACATATTTAGTTCATGGGTACGTAATATGTAGAAGTCGCCGAATGGAATGTGTCAAGTGCCACAGACTACTACCTTACCATATACGGACCAACTCCTTTAAACAGCTTGAGCGAATCATGTTCATAACCCTAGGTCCGC